AAATCACATTTTTTTGTAATATTTTAGAGAATACTTATTAATTCTTTACTGATGCACATTTAAAATAAAGTATTATTAGAGTATTCTAGATAATACAAAATATATATCCGAAGTTGTATTAAAATCTGACATTTGGGAATTGATTTGGGAATTTTTAGTGTACCACACACAACTTTATTGGCACAAATCAGGCCAATTCAGATATCAACAATCTTTAGTATTGCGCCCATTGCCTGTTCCTCTTTCGTTAGCTAAACTTTTAGCTAAAGGTACAAATTTAGTGGCACAAATCCAGTAATTTCAGATATCAAAAATCTTGCTTTTTTGGGTCCATTGCCAGGTCACCTGTAACATTTACCAATAGGATCCATATACACAGCTTAATATAAGTATATAAACATGCATATCCCTTAAAATTCCATTTAAAATCACTGCATATTTTTTGAAATAAAATTAAGAATTTTTTTTAAATACGAACATCAATAAATATTTTTATTTATTTTGACATTGAGCTCATACAAGTACAAAAACAAAATACATGTTGTTTTTGTATTGTTTAGAGCGGGTTTTTGAGATGGTAATCAAATGCCAATTAATAATCAGATTAGTTAATCTAAAAATAAATTTAATCTTATGTTAATCCCCTTTGATGTTTTTGAGTACAAGATTAAACTACGCAGTGTTGCCATACAAAACAACAGAAAATGTCACTGTTTGTTATCAAAACAATGCATATTTTATAAAAAAAGAAGAAGACAATTATAAATTTAATATGAAAATTAATGAAAACGTAAATTAAAAACAAAAACATGTATTTTGAAGTGTCCATAATTTATACTAATCAATAAATAGAACATTTTAATGTTTATATTTATAAAAATTTTATTAATTTTTTTGCATCAGCTGTTTACACTTTTGCATTTCGTGCTTAAGATTAAACCACCTCCATTGGGCGCTTAAACTTGCAAACAAAATTAACTAATTGAGTACTCAAAAACATTTTTCGAGGATTAATTTTAATTTAATCGCTAATCTTTCACCTAAAGATTGGCCCTTAGTGTACCCTGGACTTATCTATTGACTATAAATCCCCATGAGATCTTCTAAAAATTTTTAAATTTGTTTAACAAAGTATCAAAAAAACTGAAATTAGAGATTAGATCAAACTTTTTTGACCATAAGTGAGAACGAGTTAGCGCTATCTTATAAGGGCAAAACTAATATTCGATTAATTATAGATATATTTTAAGTAACAAAATGGTTTTTTAGAATATATCCCAATTTTTGTCACATTTCGAATTTATGTGCTGTGAAACACGTTAATGGCCAGGGGAATTTGCAATAACTTTTAAAGTTTTCAAGCTAATTTTGTGTTTTATATCTTTCCGAAATGCACATTACGATCCCTTTACAATAAAGTTCAAAATTTATTACTAAATGGCTAAATTTGAGCAAAAACTGAAAAAATCGATATTTTCCCCTTGTAAATGCACTTGGAAACTTCAGAGCCGTTACGGCAGCTGTTAACGTTATCCAATCAGCATAATTTTTTGTATGACATAGTTTTACAACCCATAGAACAATTCTAGAGGGGGACGGCCTGTCACACACATTTTTTTTCTTCATACAGGCTTGAATCACTCTAATGTACATATGTATATGTCATTATAAAGATCTCAGCTTATGCTTTCTAAATCCGTTAAGAAATTTATAATCGGTTTAGATTAAACTAAGCTAAATGCTTATAAGTGCTTAAAGGTGCGAAAAATAGTTTTTTTACCCGTATCTCAAGATTTCGGAGGAAAGAGCTTTGTGGTTACTTAGTGGGATTTAAGGGACATATGTATCTATCATTTTGAACCAAAAAAATGTTAAACAAAAATTAAGAAAAAAATTGGAAACAGTGAAAAATAGCTATCTAAACTCTGGACAATTTTTGTTAGGACCAATAGGTGATAAGTTACACTCATTTGAAAAAAATTCTGTATGTCCAAAATGTCCAACTTTGATCCTCTCTAACTCCGGCAGTTCTTGACAGATTGAACTGTTTTTAGCCTACTACCCAATAACCTCGATGTAAATGTCATCGAAATCGATTTTTTGAGTTTGGTGACTTGACACAAAAATGTCCATAAGCTAAAATAAAATAAAAGTTTTTCTTTTCGTTCGTTTATTTTTTATTATTCAATAAATACTTTATAATTAATAATTTTTCTAGTATTATTATGATTATTTGGTTTATTTTATTTGTTTATATGCATTTGTTTAGTTAATAATTTCCTTTAATTTCTTTTGGTTTTTGTGTATTAATCAGTCGTTCTGTTATTTATTATTTATATATATATCTGTTTATTTTTTTAATAATATAGAATTTAAAAATATTTATTTATATGTAAATTGTTTTATAAGATTTTAATTTATAATGAGATTTGTTCGATAAATTTTACAAAAAGTAACAAACAAAGCCATTTGACAAACAATGACGGTAATTCTACATAAAAATATAAAAAAATCAATACAATATATAATCTATAAGTCCTTATATACATACACACATACATATGTGCATTCGAATGACCCACTGGAGTAAAAAAAAAAACTTGTCGATGTTTCTTACATTAGTTAAAATTTATTTGACTCTGAAACGAAAATATGTATTTTAAAATAATATCTTGTGATCAGCTAAACTGTCATTTTAATGGGGTACATTGACAAATTTTTTTTGGAGAATCCTTATTAACATACATACATATGTATGTTAACAAACAATGTACACACATATGTATGTATGTACTTCTATTGGTATGTACATATCTATATATGAAATAAATATGTGTTTTTTGTGTATTAATGTATGTAACTGTGTAATGATATCGATATCAGAATTAAAGATTTGAAAAATCAAACTGTATTAAGCAAGTTTTCGAGGCTTCAACTTAATCGGTAAATAATCGGACATTGCACTGTATTTGAATAGTCAAATTCAAATTCAGTATCAGTACATTAATAGTTTGACTCCACTCCATAAATATATTGGCCTGATATTATTCAATTGTATGAAAATACGTACTTTTGTATATTAATGGGACTAAGAAAGTAATTAATTTTTGCCGAGCATACGTTAAGCCCAATGGTTACCAAAATATCGTGGACTCCGGTAGATTAGTGTTCTAATCAGTTAGACCGGAGGTTGTGTATGAGGCACTGGTGAGGGAACGCCCAACAGGACCGATGGTGGCCTAGGTGTATTTCTTCGGATTTGGTGAAACTAATACTCATTCTCCTTTCAAACTAACTAACTACCAAAATGTCAATACTTGAAAATTAACCGAGAATTCGTTATAAACAAGTTTGACTGTGTTAAATATACAAATCGAGTGAAAAAAAATTGGCATCATTACCTCTCGTAGTGATCGCCTTTCACTGCCGATATACGGAATTAGTTTGTTATTAGCGAAGTTCGTAAGGCATACGCGTATATCCACTTATACATTATGAAAAGGTTGTTTTAATTGCAAAGTTTGTAGAATTGTTGTAAGATGTTGTTGTTTGAAAAAATTAAAATGTTTTGAAGTCGCCAAATTGGTAGAAACATAAATATCCTTTTTATTCTTAATTTTCGTGATTTTTGTTGAATTAATGGTTGCTATGTATCATACATGGGAGTAGTTAATTATATCGACTAATTAATTGACGATTTCATTAGCATTAAATTGAAAAAAATTATAATTATTATTTTTTTCATTAGCATTATTTTGTCTAATGGTAATGGTTTTTAATGAAACGATTTCATTAGTAATTATATAAAAATAAATTTTCATTACCATTATTCAATAGATTTTAAAAATTTTCGAACATTAGTTCGAAATTCGAAATTAATTTCGAATATCCGAACATTATAATGTATTGTCATTAGGTGAAATCATGTATGCCAAATTTCAGCACATTCGGACTAGAAGAACTAGTTTTAACAGCTTTAAAAGTTTTTCGAACACAAGTTCGAATTTTCGAAATTTTTTTTTTAGGTTTTATGACACAGAGATTAATTTAAAAACATAAAAAAGTTTTCGAAAATAACTTCGAATTTTCGAACTTAATTTCGAATATTCGAACATATTATTGTATTGTCATCAGATGTACTTATGACTGCAAAATTTCAGCCAATTTGGGCTACGGGAACTGGTTTTAAAAGCTTTCAAACCTCGAATCTTCGAAAAATTTTCCTTAATATATTTTTCGACAATTATAAATACTAATTAAATTCGTTTTTGAAAATTCATTATCAAATTCATTACCATTATCAAAAAAAGTTATAATGAAAAAAATATAATTTTCATTAAATGGTACTTAAAATATTTTTCATTACAATTTTTTCTATAAATGGTAATGAAATTTTAATGCTTAATGAAAAATTCCCATGTATGCTATGTATATGCCTTACATAAAGCGCCTTGGCGACACATCAAATTATTCTCTCAAATGGTAAGTTTTTTGATTGTGTTAAATGATAGTTTGAGAGGGACATTTTGATGTCTGGCCATGTCGGCCAAGTTCGAGATTATCTTACGAGAACTCATTATAACTGAGTTTGACTGTAGAAATATGTACATATGTATGTATGTATGTATAACTTATGTAAGTGAGAGAAAGTGGTATATCTACATATGTTTGTCTGTGTTTGTTGTCGTGTAAAATTAGTTGTTGTAAGCCTTAAAACATTAAAGATTTATTAATTTTTACTTTGTGTATATATAATTTTTATTAAAGTACGAGATCATTTCGAATACATTTTTTATTATTCTAAATTCTTATTTCTTTTACATAGTACAGCTTAGCGTGTTGTTGTTTGTTTATTTTTTTACTAATATTTAGATTTTGCAAAAATAAATGGTGGGTTTTATTATAAAATCTTCTGCTTTTCCAATCAAAAAGGGGATAAGAATATCGTCTATCAATATATATATGTAATTCTTTGTATTCTTTTATTGATGTTATTTAAGAAAAAAAAAAAACGGATCGGTTTAGTTTTTATTTGTAACAATGCCTTTTATTATCAATAACTAAAAAGAAATACATTAAAAAATTTATCATTAAATGCAAAAAGTTCCTTGTGCAGCTTTAACATTGTTTGTTAATTTAAAATAATCTATATTTGGGCAAAAATAAAAGCAACCAAATGTACATATATGCATATTTACATATTTTTCATATTTCAAAAAATTTATTAAATGTGCATTAGAAAAGGAAACACTAGAAAGGAAATACATAATATGTATTTAGTATTTTTAAGTAAACATATTTTCGATTGTTTTGTTAATAATTTAATTGTTCATTGTTTTCTTTAAATAAATGTTGATTGATATGTTCAAGTTTTTATTTATTCCATTTAGTCTATTCAAGACATACATTATTTAAATGTATGCAAAACATCATCTCATGTCGTAAAAATAAGTAAAAAATAATTAATATTAATTTTAATATGTATGTATGTAATAATTATGCACAAATATGTAAATAATAAAATTGATGTAAAATTCTGATTTGCCTTTCAAGAATTTTAGTTTTTGCATAAATTGTTTACGTTGAATTGTCACTGATATTTTCATGCTGAATTTTGATTCGATCTAAAACAATGTCGTTTGAAAATGATGTTATCATTTTGTTTTACTTGGCAGAAATGAATAATAAAAAGAGAATGGAAATGCATTATATGTATATATGAACATACATACATACATATGTCTGTCAATTTATTAAAATTAATCGTAAAATTGATTCGGGAATGAAAAACTTATTAATGTATATATGTATAAGGCCTTATTCATCAACACATTTTTATTTTATAAACGATTATAAATAAAATTTTGTATTAACATTTTGTTTTATAAACCTTTTATAAAATAAAATGTTGTTTATAAATAAGGGGAATAATATGTAATATTGAGTAAATAAGTATGAGTATATGAATAAAATTATAATATTGAATCTGTGCAGTTTTTTTCATCATTTCATAATGTAAATTCAAAAAAACAAATTGCAAGTTTGTAAAAACATTTAAGCAAAAGCACTTTGAGCTGCACGTTTTTAATATTTTTTGTTTTTTTTTTTTTCTTATTATTTTATATTTTAATTTGTATAATATAAATGAAGCATCGAAATAATTGTTTGTTTTTGTATGAACTATTAATAAATTGAATCTCTCTTAAGGTTTTAATTTTATAATATTTAATTTTTTATGTTTTATTCAGATTAAAAAAAGATAATAACTTTTAAATAGATTTAGGATATTTGTAATAGATCTTACTAGGTTTTTGACTCATTTATTTATTCTTTTGAAATGTAAATTGTTTTTTTTTTTAATATTATTATTACAATTATTATATGTATGTATAAACAATTACAGCACCTTATGTTAGTAAATTAAAAAATTAAAGAAAACGTTTATGTTGAGATTTATTTTTATTTGAATAGTGGGGATCATGTTTATATGTATGTATGTAAGTTTGTGTATCTTTGTGTTTTTTTTTGTGTAGTGTAATGGTGTTGTTTCTAACATACATACTCGTACATGTATTAATTTAGAGACACTTTTTAGATTTTGTCTTAGTTTTTAGAAAACCCCTTCTTTCGCTAACAAACAACAATTAACAATTAGCAAATATTCTTTAAATTTCAAATAATGTCTATGTATTAGAGTATTCAATTGTTGGGATTTTTGTCTTACTGCAAATTCTGAAATGCCGAATAAATCAATTAATTTCTTTCCGTTAATCAATCAAAATACGATAGTTTCCAAAGCTGAAATTTGGTTATATACATAAAAATATCAAATATGGAACAGTTGGGTTTTGAAATAGGATTGGAAAATTGGTGAAACGGGAAAAACATTTTTAATTCGAAATTGGATTTTTGCCAAATAAGTTGATGTAAGTAAGTACATATATGAATGTACATATGTATGTATTTACATATGTATACATTGGGTACCTATTACATTTTTGGCATTACTTTTCGTGACAAATTGTCACGTTGGCAGGAATAGTTAATATTTACATGTACTTGCATGTATGCATGAACCTATTTTTATTAACTACCAGTATCTGTTTTACAATTTTTTTAAGAGAATGAAAATTTAGCATGTGTTTTGTTATTGTAACAAATATAAAACACACGAAATTGTTTGACTCAACTTAGAACTTTGTGTTGTAGAATTTGGATATAAGACTTTTACTTTAATTTTTCTAACATTTTTCAAATGATATTTTATATAATTTACATTTTTTCGATTACATATGTATTTCTATTGTCTTATACATTATTCAGAGGTTTTTACTGTTCTATTCCAATTTTCATTATTATTATTGTTATTATTTTTTAATTATATTTGTTGTTTTCTTAAAGCATTTTGTTAATTATTCTTATAGTTTTTCTCATATACATGTTACATCTAACTAGTCAATCTTTATCTACAATCGATTATATTAATTTCAATTATAATATTAATATTTATTTAATAATAATTATTATAATTTTAATAATATACATACATACAATATACCAATTGTTAATTATTAGGTATGCTTAAATTACTATGGCACAATATCTTAATTTTTATGTTCTATCATTATATAACATTCACGTGGTTTTTCTATTTAGATCTTGTAAAACACACCCAATACTACTCACAACAGCATCCATCTACCACAACACACTTGGATCTAACACTCCATGTGGGTGGGGTGGGATGTCGAATCGTTCCTTTTTCTATTTTTATTATAATTTTTTGTATTATTTTTATTAATTAAACTAGTAAGTACGTAATAAGGTGTATGGGGGAAAAGGATATTAAGTTTGTAGTTGTTAATAATATTTAGTGCCTAAAAGCTAGCTAAAGTAAGTATTTATTTATTAATTTATTATTTTTTAATTATTTGTGTAATGCTTGATAGATCTAGTAAACTGAGAATGTGTATGTATTGTATTTATGTATGACATTTCATACATATACATAAATACATGTTTTAGTGAATATTTGTTTGAGTGTAATGACACAGAAAATAAAAACACTGAGAAAAAGTTAAGAAAACAATATAACTCATATGTTTTCTAAGAATTTCATACTTTTTTAAATAGTTGCTTGAAATTCCTATAAAACAACTATTTTTATATTCTCGATAGAAAATGACTTCAAATATATTCAACAGTTTTTTTTTTAGAAATTTTAGTTGCAGATATATGGGAAAGAAATTGAATTATTAAACATCAATACAACTTATCAACGTTGTCAAATTGTTAAATTTATTAAAAAAAATCTTCTAAGACTATTCACGAAATACAAATTTCTTATCTTATTTATTCAAAAAATATTGTATTTGAATAGAATTTGTTCGTACTTGAATTATTTAAAAAATTGAACTAACATAACTTGAAACAGATTTAAAGGGATTAATGGAATTACATTTTCGTAATTGAATAAACATTTATAGTTTCTGAGTGCATTAACTTCCTTTTAATTTTTCCCAGTGCAATATATTCGTGAAGTATAACGTTTATATTGAATAATTTATTGGTGTGTATGTGTAACAAAATTATGAAAACTGAAAAATATTTGGTTTTATAAAACATCTCAGCCACCAATTTCATTTTTATTAAAAACATTTTTAATTTAATTTAAACAAAAGACATCAAAGACAACAATTGAGAGTGAAAAATTTGGTCGCTGAAATATTCTATACTTATTATCATTTTCATTGCATCTTAATGAGTTATTTGTACATTAACTGATGTTATTCTTATTTTATGTTTTTATCATTTTCTAAGTGTTTGCATTCTTCATTATAAGTATTGATTTATTGATTTTTCTATTTTGTTGGATTTTTTTTTAATAATATTTTATAATAAGTATTGTATTATGTATTGCACTAAGTATTACCCGCCCAATATAACGATAGTGATTAACAATAGTTTTAGGTTTTTTAGTTTAATTTTGTTATGCACAGTTTTTTATTGCTAATTTGACGTTTGGTTCATTCGCGAAACATATATTTCAATATTCGGTCATTTAGACGTACCACTCTTTAACATCTTTTGAATCACGTTTTTTCGTTTTCACCAAACCCGGACGATCCTCACCTTCGCTATGGTCGGTTGAGTCATGGTAGACGCGTTCAACTCTCATCGGCGCCGATCTGTTGCACATGTCGGTGTTGCCGTTATTTCGCATAGCTATGCCCGAGTGAGAACGAGAACGTGTATCTTGAGTTTGATGGTGATTATTTGATTGTTGCCTTTGTTGGTGATATGAACCGTTGGTGCTGGTATTTCCCAATAAAGACGCATTCGGATTGTGAGTACCGTAAATGGTTTTCTCACCGGATGTTTTGTAATTACGATCACCATTCGATTTCAGCCATAGCACCAGCAATATAACTAGAATAACTGCGATTAATATGCCTGCAACAATACCTATGATCATAGCGGTCCGTTCTTCCTCGATTGAGTTTATGCGGCCTCCCTTTCCCTTTGGACGATAATTGTTATTGCTGTATGGTGGAGGTGGTTGTGGTAGTGGGTAGTAAGGTAGGCCGGGTTCAGGTTCATGAATGGGTGGAGGAGGTGGTGGCCGTTCTTCTGGCATTTGTGGTGTATAAATAATATTTGATTTCTCCTCCTCTTCGTCATGCTTGAATACCTGAACGACATCGAATGTGGTTGTATCCCGTTCAGTTGATGCCGTTCGTATTTCGGGCAATGGGGTTGCGACCGTTGTAGTTACTGTTGTGGTTGACGTTGTTGTAGTTGGTGTCGTTATACGTTGTGTTGATGTTGTTACAATTGTAGTAGGTGCCGACGTTTGACTTGTTGTTACAGTCGTACTTAAAGCAGTAGTTTGCTGTGCCGTTGTAGTATGTGAGATTGTGGACGTAGACTGTTGCAGCTCAGTTGTTGCATCTTGTCTACGCGCGTTGCTGTCCGTAGTTACCTCATTATGCGATTCTGAAATTCAACAAAATAGTTTTACAATTCATATGTACATATATTCAATGTTTATCTATAAAATCGTTTGTAGACAATATGGTGTCATAACTAACTTGAAGAAAGTACTTTTATTAATTAATATTTAAATTGAAAGAAAAATACATTACTGCCTTATAATAAAACACTCCACCCTACGATTTTAATTACAATTATAGTCATAAGCCGTTTTGCGATATGTTTACGTCATTTTAATGCATAGAAATTTAAATTTTTAGCAAAATAATTAAAAAATTCTCAAGTTATTTATATTTTACGGGACATAATTTGTTGTTATAAGTATTAATTACGTACATTTTAACTTCTTTGAATATTTGAATTGAATAGAATCTCGTTTATATCAAAACATTTATATATGTATGTACGTATGTGTGTATATTAGGGGTATAACAAATTTTGCGACATTTTCGGCATACCACCAAGTGATGGCCAATGCTGTATAAGTTATGAATATATATATATTTTTTTTGGTCATTTGGAATCCAAAACATCACGCACTAATACCGGTTTCTTAAATAAACCAATTTATACCTCATTTTTACCCATTTCATCCCCTAAACATTCGAGCTTCCAATAATCCATTCGTAAAGAAACCTAATACCAACAATTCATGATTATAGCTTTACCGGTTGGGCTGAGCGAGGATGAATCAGTCATTATATAAATAATTGCAAATTTGTTTCCAAGTGTGAGGGATACATTCCTTATTTTAAATTTTCTTTTGAAGTATGTCCGCAGTTCTTATTAATTATAAAAACAACTTAACGAAGGAATAAAATATATTCTTCTTAAATTTTTTAAAATATATAATAAAAAACTTTATTGCGTTTGGTGCGTGAAATTTTTTAACAACCGGATATTTTGTGGAACTTTGAATCTAAAAGAGCGATATTCATATATGTTCAAAGTGTAAATAATTCGCATTAACAACTCTAAAAAATGCAAAATGAGACCACAGAATATTAGACGAAAAAAATATTTCTTGAACACCATTAAAATTAATAAATCCGTTTATAATTTTATTATTATTATTATTTTTATTAATTAATTCAACGATATGAACTTATGTATGTATATGCAAATGATAGTGTATACATATAGTTTTAAATTTAAGGATATGTATGTACATAAATATGTATATTGCACAAATCTTAATAATAACTAATTTTGTCGAAAACAAATACGAAAATGGAAAATAAGAAATAATTAGTAATTTAAAGAAGCATCACAAATGTTTAACTTTTATTTAATATTTAAATACATTTTTTTTTATTTTAAGGTACATATGTATTTACGCGCATTCATCAAATATTTGTTGTAATTGTTATTATTTAGTTATTGTAAATATATATATATATATATATTATTTTATATTTGCTTAAGTCAAATACTTTGTAATTCTCTATCTAATCCGTTTGAAATAAATCAAGGAACTTTTACTTAATGTTTCAATAATCATACATATCGTTGTAATAATATACATAAATACATTATATTCACACTCGACATATAAACACACATGACATGGAAACATTTCAAAGAAACCAGTTATGGAAAAATCAGAAACTCTTTTTAATATAAAGAATTTAGTTTCGACATTTGAAAACTAGCCTCATTGTATTCTGACTGCAGTTATAAAAGCTTACAATTAATATCCTTATTCAAATCGTAATTTCTGATTTTTCCCAAGAAATAGATTCTGCTCATCATCATTAGAGGTGCCCAAAAATCCTATCGTTTACGCAATTTTACACTTTTTAATTGATTTCCATTGTAATATTGGACTAAAATTTAAAACCAGTTAATTTTATACATTAATGAACAAAATAAGACTCATCTAAACATAATTGATATAATTTTGGAACCTCTAATGTACATACATACATTCTACATGCCCTTAAAATATTTGTACTTTGGTGCTTAATTGTTCAGTTACAATTTTTAAAACAAATCTTCCAGAGAGAATTATATTTTCTATAAAAAACATTTTATTCGAAATCTGCTTAAGTTTTAAGATAGAAAACGATAGTTACCTTTTGAAATTAAAACTTATTTCAAATGTTCTTTACAAAACTGGACTATTGTAAATTATATTAAATAATACAGATAGTTCTGGTCTGATTTGTTGCAGAATATAGGATAACAGAAATAGAAAATATAAAATACGTAGATAACTTGAGATTTTTGCTTTTTCTTTGCTGCCACATAAAATAGTACAGTTATTTACCCAATTAAACTCCATGGGGAGTCGTAATCTGATTGGCTTCAAATTTTACACCAAATAGTTGTTGTTTTGACAGTACAAATTATTACGTATCCAAAGAAAATCAAATTTATAAGGACAAGTCTAATGTATGCATACATATGTATGTACATGTATGTATGTCACATGAATATTTGTAGATACATTTGGTGGTGCTGTTCATTGTTTTATTCGTTGTTTTTAACATTCACACGTTTTAAGAATGATCTTATATACTAGAGAGAACCAAAAAATTGTGATGCATTTGTCCAGCTCTGCTTTAATTATGTAATTAGTAATACATATAAATACTACATGTACATATTTATAAATATGTTTGTACATACATACATATGTATGTATATATGTATGTACTTCGGTATATTTTGGTGTTTAATGTGTATAAATATATTATATTACAAGTGCTTTTAGTTTATTTTGTTATTCAGTTCGGTTTACTGAGCAGCCGGTGCAAAATCACAGTCAGTACTATGAAGCAGGATTTAATTTCTGAAAGAAACAAGTCCAACTGTAATGCTACATTTTTCTTTGATTTTCTTATTTTTAGCATTTTGTGGTTTTGTGTCCATGGCTGACATGAATGAATAACGATCTTATTTTAAATAATGCCATGATGGATGAAAAAGCATTTTGTTGATGTTTAGGCATAAAGGCATGTTAAAATAATTAATAAAAAAAATATACCCTTAAAGACAAGTTAATGCATAAAAGCAAACAAATTTAACATCCATTTACAACATTCCAGAGCATTACATTGTACATTTAATATTATTTACTTGATTGAATTTACTAGTTCTCATGAATAGGTTTAATGTCAATTATGCACAAAAGTGAATATACATAATTATGTATTTATTAATTTAATCCAACTCTGAACAATTACGGTTTCTACGAGATGTTTTTGAATTAAAACAAACAGACTTGTCCTTTTTAATAAGAAAAAAATTATTAACCCATTCATTCCACATTCAGTCAATGTATGTATGTGTATGTATCTTTTTTTTACAAAAAATTACATTTGTTATTAAAACTTTAAAAAAATAGCTGTAAAATTTTTTGTATTATTTAATAATATGTATTATTTAGAATTAAACGAGTTTGTGAGTTAATTTCAAAGTAAGCATTAAATGTAATGTGAATTATTTTTTAAAATATATGTTCTATAAATTTTCAATCATGGAACGACTTTTATTCAAAAATCTATTTTAAATATAAATTTGTTTTCCATTTTTCTGGATTTTGTATAAAAATATCAATCAAATAAATGGTTTGCTATATCCATGCGATTGAATACTATTTTGTTTCAAAATAATATTGGTCTTCGACCAAAATATTCGATTCTTTAAAGTATTTAAGAAGTGTAGACTACATTAAGTACAAAATGGAATCTGCAAAAACAGCTCCTTATTTATTTTTTTAACAGTTTCGACTACTAAATATGTATGTACATATATATCATTAAAAATAAACGTTCTCTGAAGAAGTATTTTATGAAGTATGTATGTATGTAGTAAAAACCGAAGAATATAATATTATAATTTTTAAACTCATGCATTAACAAATAAAAATCTATTTGGTTTTTTCCATTTATATGAAAAATAATTCTAACAAAATAAATCAATTAACAAGTTATATTAGTCTATGACTCATTTCACCCATACATATGTACATATATTTACTAACAAAGCATATGCAGGTACATTGTGGTACATATGTATGTACATTGGAGGTCCTGAAAATTGATTTTGTTTGGACGGGTCTTATTCTCTTCATTTGTGTCTAATTTAACTGAAGTTAAATTTTAGCCCAATCGCATAACAGAAAACCATGCCAGAAATCGATTGAGAAGTTTCAAATTACGTAAATAATAAGACTTTTTAAATTTTCTTCTATTATCTTTCCAACAAGGTGTAAAATATTAATATCAAGTGGCAAATAGGAATTTTCTTTTCACAAATATTTTATTCGAGTTTTTGTGTAGAAATTTTTGTTTATATCAGTAATGCATCCTTTATCTTAATTTATGATCAATAACTTTGTTGTCTATCAGCAGGAATACAATATTGATATGTATAAAATAATAAAATATCCATTAAAGTCTAATTTCGCTTTACTAATAAAATTTGTAAATCGTTATTGAAATTCTTTTTCTAAAACTTAAAACAATACAGTTCTGATACCAATACATACATAAGTGATTATATTTTCAATACATGCCCAGCAAAAAAAGAACCTCCAAAGAAGCGAAAAAGAAGTAGAATTTACTCCATAGAAGTACTGAAAAAGTGATGATTTTAACACATAGGAGGGATGTCCTTTATATTTGATTCCAAAATCACTACTTCTGAAGTCATTCTCAAGAATGATGCTCTTTTTTGGAAGATATTCGTAAGTGAAATTGTAGTATTATAGAATACAACTAATTTGACTTAAATAATATTAACATTTATTAGGATAATAGACACATGAAATATAAAAGCCCAAATATAACATTTTTTATCCCATAAGAATTTAAGAACAAAAAAACATTGAAAAAATATAATTATTTTTGCTTCTTCGGAAGTCTTTAAACACATCACTTCCTCAAAAGGTAAAAACATTAAATTAGTGCTACTTTTGAAATAAATGTTATTCTTTTGGAAGTACTTCGTTGGGATGGTTTCTAAAGAGTTTTATATTTTTACTTTCATTCAAGGCAATGATGAATATATCATCTTTTAATTTGTGCTAAAGTATTCATAAGTGAATATTAATTTTAAAAAATACAATACAAAACTGTCTACATATTGTCATTCCCATTAATTCTATGTAGGAATTATAATAAATGCTGATGAAAAATCCTATTAGAATTTGAAAGTAGTGTAAATATTTACATATTCTATCTCTATGCATACTACTACAGCCTATAAAGGGAAAGGTAATTGAAATAAATTCATTGTGATTGTGAAAAAGATGACATACAATGAAATGACGGCGACGAAATTTGATTGGATGTGTTTTAATAATCAAATACTTACCAGAACCTTTGGCGGTACTTGTAGAAGTGAATTGTTCAGTTGTTTCGCCATAATCCCCAGATCCATGAATGCAGTCTTCATCGTCGCAAGCTCGTTCGGTGCCATTTGTTTTATCAGTACTAACATTTTGGGTCATTGTTGTTTGTTTAGTAGGCGGTACATAGACTGGTGTAATTAGATCATCTCCGCTCGACTCAAATGGAGGAGTACATTCGTCTTCGTCATCGCCACGACAACCAGAACCAGCACCAGAAAATATTAAATCGTCTATTGCTCCAGGATAACCACTAGCGGGTGTCTGCTTAGATAAGAAACACAAAAAGAAAAATAATAAAAAATAAAAGGTGTAATTTTAATCAATTTTAGGACATTGTCTCCTTAAAGATACTGTTGTGTTGCATGTAATTGTACAGTTATTATGTGCATATGTTTCTTTTGTATATATATGTATGCATATGTATGTAAATATGTTTGCATGTACATATGTAACAATAAAATTTGTATTCATGTTGTAATTCTATGAAATTATTTGATTAGTAACTATATTACTATTTCATACATGTTTAAAATAATCATACTTTTGTGCGCTCACATTTGACTAATAAAGAATACTATATTCTCAGTTTTTTTTTCTATAGAAGAAACGATTTCTTCCAAATATTAAAAATATAATTTGAAGAGCATTGAAGAAATCAAAAAAGGATTTTTTTTCCAATTTTACACTAATGAACAAAATAACACCCATCTAAACAAAATCTATGTTTTTGGACACCTCTAATGGACAAGGCTATGCAATAGTCACTAGTCTTTTGAAATGTTTATTAACTAATCTATTGATTATCCTATGGAGTGATAGAATGACTAATCTATGGACAAATCTATAGACTAGTCTATTGTATAGTTAACTGACTGTTATATGAACTAGTCTATTGTCCAGTCTATATACAAGTACTGGTTTCCCGGTTTACCGAATACTCAGTTTAGCGAATTCGCGATTTAACGAACGGGAAAATTGTTTCTATTGAGTACCTTATATTACGAGTGAATGAGTAAATTTTGTACTCGATATAACGAATTTCATAAAATTTCTATAAAAAATAATACGGAGGATCACTAAACTTCATTATTAACTAAAAGCTAAAACATATTAACATTTTATATACGTTCAATACCCAATTCAATGGGTACAAAATTTACAAATACAAAAATCCTGGAATAGAAATGAAAATAACATTTAAAAAATTATTTTCGGAAATATAAATATGTAAGTTTTATTAAGTAGACATACATTTTAATATAAAATTCTTTGTTTAAGGGAATATTATGATTATTTTACTAATAAAGTGAGAAATGGAATTGTTTGTAATGAAAGTTTCCGTAAAATACTTAGAATTCACATCGATTAAAATGGGGATCAAATCCCTAATTTGCTTTTTTTTATAAGAAATTTTTTTTTTATAATCAAAGTTTTCATGAAATCTTTAATTTTGTTTTGATGCTAAATTTATAAAAATGCAAGGAAATCGTCAAAAACTTTATGTGTGCATTCAAAAAGATTTTAAAAATTGACTTCCTACCTTCCATTACCCTATTTTTACCATTAAATCGTAGAATAGTTGTTATTCGGTACTGTGGTTGTACGACCCAAAATTATGTATGTATATATGTATGTATGTATGAATTTTCGTACATGTTTAGTAGTATACAATGCGTTTAGGTATGTAAGTGTAAATGCATGCAAAATTTTGTACTGAACTGTAGAGTACTTAAGCAGTACTTTTATGTGTGTATTTAGTAAGTAATGTGCATAGTTTTGAAATATTAAGAGTGCATTATAAAATTGAAAAACAATAGAAAATATTAATTGATGTTAATCCAAATAAGAGGAGGCATACGGGATACATTATGTAAAAATATTGGCAAAAATATCTTTGTAAAATTATAAAAAAAAGAAAAAATCTAGAAAATAAATTAAAGTGCACAGTGCTGTATTAAATATACGATATAAATTTACATATGTATAAAATGTACATTTACACATATTTATAAATAAATAAATATATAGTATCTATGTACATATGTATGTAAAATATATTGGAAAAAAGTTTGAATGAAGCGATTAATCTTGAAAATTGTTTAAATTCGTAAACATAGTTTAAATTAAGAAACAATAAAACGATTCTTTTGTTGCACAAAATACACAATAATTGAATTCTAAGTAAATATTTTTTATGACAGACACATTTACAGTTAAAGAACCATGTTCAGCTTTTCCCAAATATATTTGTTAGAATTTAAGTTTGTGAATAAATTCAAACATGGTTCAAAAACTCAATTGACTTGAGCGACAAATAGATTCGAGATTTGAGAGAGATTTTTTGTTTTAATGTTAAATACGACAGAGCAAAAATTTGTTACGATGAGAAAAATACTTGAAAAAGTTTGAAGAGATTTCAAATTATTTAAAAATAAAATCCCTAACCTGCTGCATTCTTTGCAGATCATTTCTATCTAATACTCCAGTTACCAATTGAACATCTCCTCGTATCGTTATATGGGGATCACGTTCCACTGCCAAATCCAGGACACGCAACTTATTCACTGATAGACCGGTAATTACACCAGCAAAAGGTCTCTCTATGCGAGTGCGACCTGTACGACTAAATTTCCCTCCAACTTGAATGTTAGCCATGGTGTTGAACATGGTAGACTGATGTCCTAAAGAAAAACAAAGCAATAGTTAAAGCTGATTATGTCATCCAAAATAATGTGGTTCATGCACAAACCTTGTGGTGTTAGAGTTTGTACATTGTAATCATCCAATTGTAATGTGGCGTTTCCACCTCGTCGGCTAAATCGCACCACATGATATGTATTGTCATTAACTTTTGTTCCAATCTCTCCCAACGGCAGATCTCTTGTACCGATATTATACACCATAAATATGTTACCTTCAACAATTTCCAGTTCCATATAATCCTGCGTCGTAGAGCTCTCTATGCGCAACAATACAGCATCAGATTTGGTCGTTATGAAACCCAATGCTATATTATCCTCTTCAGTATCAGCTTGAGCATTTTCTGGAAATGTATACTGGATGATTCCCTTATTATTGCCAAATTCATATGCGATGGATTCTATTGATGATAAATAGCAATATTTTATAAAATTTTTGCTGCTTATAAAATTGAAATTGATCAATTACCATCATAACATGTGGGACCCGTATATGAAGTCATATCACACTCGCAGGCGTACGCATTCCACTGCTGCACACAAACGCCTCTGTTTGCACAAGCATTTTGGCTACATTTTGTTGGGCCCTCACAGCCGGACACAACAAGCGAGCTCGGTACTACAGCGTCATTTGTCAGTGATGGTGATGTGTCGCCCAAATCGAGTGAAGAAATACAACCCTCAAAACCAGATCGTGATGATATGGATGCTGGCAGTTTCGCATACATGTCTTTGAATACACCCCCAATATACAAGATACCCGATAATTCCAAGTGCATGCTGTTGCCCGATAATGTAATGATCTCAAACGATTCGTCTACAGCGAGAGTATGTGTTTTCGGACCAGGCCTCCTAATGCTGACTTGATGCCACCGATTGTCATTCATGTGAATTCGGGTTTTATCGCGCATTGTTATTGGCCCATCTCCCAAATCAAATGTATAGTGTATGTGGCCATTTACCAATTCCACCGCTACAAAATCATTTCGCCTTCCGCCATTATAAAGCAACAGCCCATTTGGTTCTACTGTTTTAAATCGAAAATCAACTGAAATTGTTGAATAGGCCTTCAGCATAGGCAGACCCACATAAGAGTGTTTGGATCGGAAGGTCGCTGCATGATACGGATTTCCTGGTGGTGAGTTAATAAATCGAGCTGTTAACTTAAAGGTTGCGCTGGGCAGAGCTGATAATTCTGGGCCCAATGACTTGACAATATCAATGTACCTTAAAAAGCACAAAGCAAATTAATTTTTTTTAAATTAATATCCCAAAATGTGTACCTACCTCTGACCATTAAATATAAATCCCTGCATTTGTCCAACAAAGTTTGGCATCGTAGATGTCATTTGTATTTCTTCTTCGGCATGAAATAGTCCGCCCAAATGTATTGAACGTATCTCTATGGTACTATGCCGTCCCAAAATTGTCTCAGCTGTTAAATACATTTATATATCTCGATAAATTAAGAAAATATCGACAATCACACTCATAACTTTATTATTAACACCTAACGTCTTTACATCATATAGACTATTTATGATTTAAATAATAATTCATTCTCTTAGTGTGATTGTAATGTAAATATGTAACTAAAAACATTACATCAATTACATTATACTCTATTTGTTGATAAAAAAATAGTTTAAAATCAATATATTTTTGGTGAAGATGTTTTATATAAATGTATATAGTAGTAGTAGGTACAAGAAGCACGGTTAAAAATTACTTAAAAATATTTTTATATGTATTAGATCAACCTACACATACATATAAAAAGCAAATCTAAACGAAACAATAAATCAGTGTGTCAAATATATTTAATTTTTCATTTTAAAAATCCTTCTCAAATGGAGCCTCATTAGACTGAAAACTTACTTATTTTGGAAATGTGTTTTGCACAATTGTGTAAAAATAGGAAAAAAGTATTTTATTGAAATTCAAGCAAGTTTAATCAAACTTCCACCTAATATGCGCGAAATTAAAATAATAGGACTGATTTTATTGGTATAACATTTATTTTCAAATTTAGCTTTTCAATTTTTACACTTATGATTCAAATAAGATAAAAAGTTATTTTGAAATTACTCGTGGGATATTTTTGTTGGAGCGTGATCAAAAATATTTTAAACTTTATGATCTTTCGCAGAGAAATTACTCTAGGTATGTTTGCAAAATTTGAGCATTAGATTCAATTAAGCTTTCATATTAATTGGGATCATCAACAACTTTTACTTTGGGGCTACCTTAATGTAAATATACATATATTTATAATATTTATTTGTATTAATAAATAAGGCTAAGTTAGGAAATAAATAAATAAATAAATAAATATGTATGTAATAGATTTTTAATTAATATGTATAATAACATTTTCAAACATTGGTCGTTCATATCTTAAAATACACATATGTATATTTAAGTTATTTTCAAATGACGACATTCAAAAATCAGACACTTCTTGAATTGCTCCAATAAAATATTTTTGACACACTGAATAATATGACACAGTTTTAAAAAAATCTATTTAAAGTTGACAAAAAATATGTATGTTTGTCTCAAGCAGATATTAACAAAAAAATGTTGTACCTTGGTACTTGCAGTTTGAAAAACTAGGGAAGTGCAGTATAGTTTCGAATAAAGAACTTAAAACATAATACAAAGAATTAATTAAACGATTTTTGGCCAAAACTATCCGAAATTTGATTGATATAAACCTATTTATGATTAGACTAATTATGTTTTTCAACCAATTCTGAATACTGGTAACGCCAACCTTTGCGGAATAAAATATAAAAATAATGAAAACAAACTATAAATCCGCATATAAAAAAGAATTCGAAAATTAACATATATATGTATACAAAATATACGAGTATTTTTGAAATTAAAAAATGGTGGTTGGTGAAAAGGTATGGTGCGATATTTGTACGATATTTAGGGTGCAATGGATGATAGTGTCTACTCATAAAGTGATGTAATCTATTGCAATGGAAATATCAGGTGAAAACAATTATGTCTGCGCAGTTCAACCGAATAAAGGAAAATAAACATATTTATGTACGTATTTTAGTGACACAATCATAATACAACCTAAAACAACAGCTGACAAATTTTGTTCGGATATAGAGTCGAAAATGGATATTAAAAATTGAGTAGAATTTAGATTTCGGGTACATGTTTAAATTATTAATAGTGAACTTATAAGTTTAATATTTATTATGCATTTGAGTTGATATGATAGGGTGCAAAACTGTCCTCTTGTATTGCATTGGAATAATCAAATTTTTTAATTAAAACCATTTTATACGCTATTTTCCATATTACAGACTAGTTTTTCATATTTTTTTATTGAATCATACATGCAATTTGCAAAAAAATGAGTGCTGTCATGCAAACGTCATACGTGGGGAAATATTATTTTCCATTTTATTTAATATATTATTTTAAGTATTCAATATGCGTGTTAGACGGAAGAATGCAAATGTCCAAGTGGGCCCCGTTCATAAAAAGGAACTTTGACCATAAACAAAAAAGTACATTGTACAACACGAATCAACCAACTACTCGCACGTAGCCAAATCGGAGAGAACCTTTCTCAAAATTCACTTAAAGCCACATTTGGACATTTTTTAAATGAAAATGAAAAAAAAACTATATGTATTTATTAAAAATATAGTAAGAGTATCATAAGTGCTTCTACAAGCTAACAAGAGCATTTAAGTATTAGTAGTTGTATGTAGTAGTAGTAGTATTAGTAAGTAGTAGAAGTAAAAAAATATATATTTAAATTTTATTTTAAGTGGTTAAGTAGAGTAGTAGTAGTTTTTAATATATTTTTTGCTGAATTTTATATGTAAATACATACACTTACACATATTCTACATTAAACTAAATACATAATAATTTGGTGCAATATTACAGCCCTGGCGTTTTACAAAACATTTTTTTGCTGATTTAGGTTTTAACTTTCAATAAATCAAATGAAAACTTTGTTTTGACCTTTAAGCAAAAAAATGTTTTTGTTTTATATCACCGATCTTGCGTGTCGATTTTTTATTTTCATTTTTTCTCTGCAGGTAATTTTTATTTCGTTTATAAGCTGAAAATATTGAATTGAAACTTTCATGTTTATTAAATTAGAGCACAAAACATACATACATAAATGTTGATTGTTTGGTATTTTTTTTAGCATAAGTGTTAAATGAAGTTGAAATTAATCACACATTTCAAGAAATTATTGAAAATTCAAGAATGTTACTAAATTTGTTATTTTTAAATAAACAGTAACTAAAATAATGCAGCTTACATTAAATGATCCTTTATTTAAATACACATACATAATAAACGTTTCTATGTATATATATGTACGTATATGTCTTTGGAAAAATAATGCTCATTAATAGGCAGATTAATGTCAAAAGGTTATAAGGGATTTCATCAAAAATTAAAATATGCAAGTGTACTCCATACGAAATTCTTGTATTGACTTTTAAACTTCTGCTGTAAAAATCAAAAAGTTACAATCGTAAATTTTCTTTTAAGGAACAACAATTAAAAATTCATGAAAAGTATCAGAACATGAAAGAAACTTATTGCAATATTTTAACACAAAAGTTGTTTCAAATCAACTGATTTTATTTATTGTTTCAAAAATCTTCAAGTATTGAAATAATTAATAAATATTTCTTTAGAACCTTTTATATATTAATATGGGGGCCCAAAAATCATTAGTGTCTAAATTTAACTGGTGTTACATTTCGGATAAAGTGAAAAGTGTAAAATTGGGTAAATAATAGGCAGTGATGCCAAGTGTAGGGATTTTTCCCAAAACATGCGACATACTAAAATCTTTCATATAGATTTATCAAATTTCTAATATGTCTATTATTTTCGATGTGAAATCGATTTTTTGTAAACGTAAAAACTAAAACCCACGTTTTCGTGAATATTAGACAACTAAAAATTGAATTTCAGTTTAGATGAGAAACATATTAACCTCAACTATCTGAATTTTTTTAAAAGTTAAAAGTTATCAAAGAAAATATTTAAATGTCATTAAATATTCATATCCATTTTTCTTGAAACTACTTTTTTGGATAATGCCAATCCTGTAGGGCGATGTATTCTGACTCCTTATAGATAGAGTAGTCAGGGGCTTAATGCAGTAACTCAGGATTGAAAAAAATAATTTAATGTTCTGAAAATTTGTAAAAGTAAACCGCAAAAGTAAACCTTAGTTAAAATAATTATATTAAATGTAATGAAATTTTTTTGTTGGGGGCACATAAAATAAATGTTTAACATCGAATCGTGATACTGCCATAAATCTCTCAATTGTCTTGTTCTTTTTAATCTTAACTGAAGAGTCAGGGTTGGAAGATTTCTATGATGTAAAATTGAAAGTAAAAAAATTAAAAATTTAAATTCTAGAAATTTCATTCCTAAAAATTAAAAAAAAAATATATATATATCTATATATATATATATATATATATATATATATATATATATATATATATATATATATATATATATATATATATATATCTTCAGTTAAGATTAAAAAGAACAAGACAATTGAGAGATTTATGGCAGTATCACGATTCCATGTTAAACATTTATTTTATGTGCCCCCAACAAAAAAATTTCATTACATTTAATATATATATATATATAAGCATCACTGATAATAGGACTTTTTCATTTGTTTATTATTTTTTTGTAGAGAAAAGATAATTTTTTGAAGATAAGATTTGGTGGAAATGTTAAGAAAAGACAATTTTAATGGCACAATTTTTGAATGTATCAAAAAACGTCCTATTATTCACCCAATTTTACACTTTAAAATTTAGCCACTAATGAACGAAATAAAACCCATCCAAACAAAATCGATATTTTTTGGGCACCTCTAATGTACATATTTACATCCATTTAACCGATTTTGATTTATCCATAAAGAATAGCGCGAACGAATTCTAGAACTCAGAAAATACAAAGTACATAACATAGGGTGATAACTTTTTTGGACGGCAAAATACCACAGCACTACCTTATAGCCAATACTGTCCTTATAATAGAAGGCTATTTTTTAGGTCAATTCGGTGAAAAAACTTCCCGCACCGATGCTTTTGTTCGTTATTTTAACAAAGATTATTTTAATTATTTTCATATAATCGTACACTATTATTTATAATATGCAATATTGTCGCGATTTGTTTGAAATTCAAGTTCAAATTCAATAAAGAACAATGCTCTCTTTAAGATAACGTAGTACAAATGCAAAAAAATATTGGCAAAAATATTTATTTTTTTCATTTAGAATAAGTAATATTTATACATAACTTTATCGTCTTTGGTGCGACAACTTCTTTCACGATCACGAGAAAATAATATATTCCTTAACATCTGTTCACACCCAACAAGGTCTTACTATGGTATTTTTGATATTCGCAAAAATTGCTAAAAGTTATACCCTAATGTACATACATACGTATGTATGTATTTAAAAACACCATTTTCTAAGTTAATTAGATAAATTTTACTTAGGTAGACAACTTTGACAAAATAAAATACGAAACATTAAATGGTTTTAAAAATACTGTGTGACAGGAAAAAATTACTCAACTTGTGACTAAGTACGGTTTGTAGATCTAGTAGAGTAGATCACCCTATTATAATTAGAATTTGTACATTTAAAAAAGAGCCGATTGGTATATTTTAAAGTGGGTGTAGGACCAATATTTGTGGGTGTTACAAACATCAGCACAAACGCAAAATAACCTCCCCACTATAGTGGTGTAGGGTATAAATAGTAGAAGTTGTCTTTTTATTATGGTGTTGTGAACTACCCTACTGGACCTACATACTACACTAGGTCATGTGCAGAATACATTCACTTTTTGTAATTCTGTCACACTGTGAAATATTTGTAACATTGAGAAATACCTATGTATGTATGTATTTAAATCAATTGCAAATGAAATTAAAAAAAAATCTGAAGTTCAAATTTCTGTTAATCATTATGAACTACGTGTTTATCCTATGAAAATAAAAAGTTTTGTCAAACATTGTTATTAGTATTACATTCTAATAGGTTAAATTTTCGTTTAAATTATTCATTGTAATGTAATAGATTCCAGTCGTCCTTTTCCTTTGTGTTATTGTGTATGCTGAGTGTTATCTAAAAAACCTACTGCCTACTTTCAAGCTAATTTATGCAAAAGTAAAATGTAGCGAATTTTTTAACAAAATAAGCTGCTGTTTTTAAGTTGTACAATCAATGGACTTGCTTGTATTTGTTAACGAATTCTAAATGGGATTTGAAATCAATACAAAAGATTATCGTTACAGTAACGGTTTTATAATCAACATAATATGTATAAATATTATATTTTGCGCAAACGTAAAGAACACAACATCAAGATTTTTGTTCGAAAATAGGTAGGTACTTTAAAAAACCATACAAAAATTGTCAAAAACAAACGAACAAAGTACAAAGTAAAAAATTAAAACGAATTGTTTAAAATTTACAAAAATGGTACAGATTTTCTTTTTGTAGTGAATGGATTGGTCATGTGAAGTTTTGATGTTTTTTAATCGAGTGATAGTAGCAAACAGTTTTAGTTTTCCATTTTAATTTTATACATGATTTAAGATGGGTATTCATAGTTCTGGGTTATGGGATATATGAAAATGTAAAGATCGTTAAAATAAAATGATAACAAAGAAGACAGAAAATCAGTTATGTTGTTGCTGTTGTCATGATTACGAGTATGTTTATCGATCGTTCCACATGTAATGCAACTTGCATTAACATTCATAGAGGAGGAATTTTCATTGCAAATAGTTTATGGTTTTATTCTTTTACCTAAAAACTGATGAACACCACTAACAATGAACAAGGAAGAAGGGGGCAGAGCAAAAGTTTTGAGTTGTAAACCTTTTTTCAAAGTATTTAAAAAAAAAAAAAACAAATAAATAACATAAAAACTTAAATGAAAAACTTCAAAGTCCCTGTATGAACAAAAGTGATGAAACTATAGGAATGTTTCTATAACTCTACATTGTCCGACAAGTCAACTTTAGTTTAAAACTTTAATTTACTGGACTCAAAAAGAAACAAATAACGATTGACCAGTCAAAGTTTTTAGATATACATATAAATTACAAAATTATGTTTTTATTGCTTATGCCATAAAATTACATCCTTAAGTATATACTTACATAATAAAGTATATGCTTGGGTACAATACGAATATACATATACATACATATGTATGTACATTATATATGAAGTGTCGGATAATGTAAAGTAGTCACAATAGCATTTAAAACTAACACTTTATGGATAAAGGACCTTTTGACATACTTAAATCTCAAAATAAGTAATTTGTTAAGTTAGATTGTAAAGTTCTGTTTATAACTCGAAAACTATTTACAACCTAATTGAAATATTTTGTGAAGGTCATTCACATTTGAAGGCATTAAAAAAACTGCACATATAAAAAAGAACCTATTTACAAGGATGACGTACAAAAAATGTGCAGGCGGAGACCTAAATTGAAATCATTTTCAATTGTTTCTGAATTTAAAATGAAAAAAGATGTAAAAAACGACACGGCACGACACGTAGTAGGGCAATTAAGGTGCTGGTGATACATACATAACATACCCCTGACAGGGGGAGCCCCGTCAACTTGTAAACGTAAATTTGATGCTCGTCTGGAGAATCGTATTGTGTGCCAGTTGTTGTCATTGAGAACAGATTGTCCAGCGAGAAGATTCTAGAATAAATACGGTTCATGTTAAACATTTAAAACATAATTCAATAAATCTGTAAGTATTGTACCTTTTCTCGATCGCTTAACCTTACGCTGGCACGAATACGTCCGGCTACTAAGGCGATTTCAAGTCTATCAGGGGAATTGGATTCCGCACTGGTCATCAACAATAAACCTGTGGGTCGTGCGGTTTTGAAACGTAGCAAGAGCTCTTCTGTTTGAGTCTTTGTACCCTGACCATTTCCTAACCAAACGGTCATATGCTGTGTTCCATTAAAAGCCAATGTACCAGATTCCCTACCACAAGTTGGTCCGTAATAAAGAGTCGCTGTACAATCACAGATAGGTCGATTCCAACCCTCCATGCAACTTCCTCCATTCAAACATGGATTACCCGCACATACATTAGCTTGTACATGGCAAGAAGGTTTCACCGAAGCTGTGACGAATAAAAACTTTAAAATCAAAGATATGTAATCGTTATATATTTAACGTTACCAGAGTCTTGTAGTCTGGCAAATGCTGCGATATCTATTGCCTTGCCACTTAGCACCAAATCCCTCAAGCAGCCTACAAAACCTTGACGTAACGTGGCCGTCCATATGGCTGGAGGCCAATTAGCATTGCTATATGCAGGACCTGTTCCGCCAACGTACATGTGACCGTCCAGTTCCAAAATAGTTCCTTCTCCAGGTGTCCGAAAGTCATTCCAAACTCCATCCACACTAACTTTTGCATCTCTGCCATTGCGTCGCAAAATGAAATCATGCCAATCCCCATCATCAACTCTTCTCCGGGATCCCCTCACTTTAGCTGCACCAGAACCCAAATCCAAATGAATGTAAATGTGACCATTAAGCAATTCAATTGCGAAAAGTACGGCCTAAAATTTCAATTAGCAAACAAACTTAACAATTTCATTATTACTTCACACAACCTACATTTTTTGATCTGGGCTGCTTCGACCCAGTTGCCAATATAATGAGGCCATTAGGTTCTTTAGTTCGAAACTTGAATGATATGGAACTTTGTTTACCAGTCTCCCACGGTGGCAACACCTAAAATACATTGGTAATATATTTCAGAATAAAGTTTTAAAAATTACTCGAGCTAGCGTACCAAGTGAGATTCTCGTGTCGTAAATGTAACTGGATCTTGTGGATCGCCAATTGGACATTGATACTCAACATTACCAGCAACCTGTATAAGTTTTGATCCGCTTTTAGCTAAATCAATTAGATTTAATAATAACGTGTCTGCCGAAAATTCAACCTGTACAAATAGTTTTTAAAAATTGAAAATGCATAAGGAAATACATATATACATATTTCTTGACTGGTCTAAAACTGAACAGTAAACATACCTTTCTCAAGCAACCGACAAAATTGTTATGAACTCTGGCTCCGAGTAAAGCTCGGGGATTTACAGCGCCACCTACATAGACTCGGGAAGAGGAAAGCATTGTAAATTTCCCCGCAATATGAGAATGATCGGTATATACGTCATCGACCACGGTAACAAGCTAAAATATGTATCAGATTTATTATTCGATTACACGAACTCGCGTAATTCTTCACTGAGTAATAAAATGTTTAACACTTACCCGACAAAAACTAGTAATTGATGATATCTCTTGTATCCTACGGTGGACTGTAACTTTATGCCATTGATGATCATCAAAACGAACTCTAGATGGTTTTATATGCATCTCTTGTTTGCCATTTGCCAAACCCATGGTCAATGAGACCCCTCCATCGCGTAATGCCAAATTGAGGTAATCGGTGCCATGACCTTTAATAAATTCTTATTTTAATTAATCTATTTATATTGTGGACAAATAACAGTTATTACCAGTGTAAAATAATAATCCATTCGGCTGACGTGTACGAAAATATAATGTAATTGCGTCTTGGGCACTAACAATTGGCTCAGCGCCGGTTTGACCAAGATCGTATGAAAGGAACTGTGTACCACGGAATGTAGCTTCTGACGGAGCCTTTTCTTTTTCGCAATATTGTCCATCAAATTCAAGATTTCTACATTCACATATGGGTCCGGAATCTGTTGATATACATATACCTCCATGTTGGCAAGGATCATGTCGTTCACATGCATCAGTAGTATTACTTCCTCGTGAGTTACGAACAACTTTTTCTTTCGGCATTTCTCCATGATCACAAGGACCATCGCCGCATTTGATATCACGTGGTTGTTTCATTTCCTGTCGCCTGGTTTGTCCACCAGGCTGATCGGAATAGACAAGATTTCTAATTGATCCACGAAATCGGGGCTCAAATATTACACTCGGAAGAGCTAACAACGCCAATTTTGTACTATACCAATTTGGCATTCCTCCAACATAAACATCAGAATTGGTAGCAAACTTTCCAAATTGAAATTCTTTTCCCTTAGTGGCACGACTCTGGGAGACGCCATCCACAATCAGTGATGTTTGTTCGTCATTACGAATAACCTTAAAAAAAGTTATTTTATTTATGCTAAGTAATGTGAAGATTCCAAAAACAGTTAAAAAAATCTTTTATGTTTACAGACGCCATTAAGTATACATTGAATAGTTTATATTTTAATTAGGATATAGGAATTGTTTATATCGAAAATATTATATGCCTCTTCTATTGTATAGAAATACATATTTAATTTAATCGGCGCCATCTGTCGGACAAATTTAAAACTTTACAGGAATACTTCTTACGATCCCTAGAACATGTATTTTAATTTTTTTTCCTATCAAGTGCCTTAGTTCCTGAGTTTATCGATTACGAACAAATATTACTCTTTTATTTATATAGATTTATCTAAATTTTCGCAAGTTTCAACTTTAGGCAGAGATGCGAAACAGAGATTAGTTTATATGATTTTTTAAATTACAAAACTATGCAATTTAATAGTACCTAGGCTACATCCTAATATTTTTTTTAAAGTGCCTCACATAACGCTGTTAAAATAAGCTGTTGATATTTTTATTTAAATTTTAATAATACTTACTTGAACTTTATGCCAATGTCCATCGTGAAGATCGCGACCCACTGTAATAATCTGGGCACCACCTCCCAAGTTGTAACGTAAACGCAAAGCACCTTCTACTAATTTAAGTTCAAAAAAGTCATATGTTCCACCATCATCTGTATATAAGACTAAACCATTTGGTTGTTCAGTCTTAAATTCAAGTTCCAGCGATCCATTCAGTCCAACATACCACTTCCGAAATTGTGCGAATGAACTCTGGGAACCATCCAATTGAAAGGCATTAATTGTTGTTAAACATGAAATTATTAAGGATAGTAAAAGTAAGAACATCATTGACAGACGATTACTGCTAATTCTGCATCTTCCAGTAGTAGTAGTAGTGTCAATAGTTGTAATAGCTTTAGCATTGCTAGTTACAGTAGAAGTAGTATTAATTATTGTGCTGGCGGTTTTGCAGCTGCTGCTATTACTTAATACTGTGTATATTTTATAAAGACTGCTTAGTGAAGATGTTGTGGGCATTTTTATTAATGGACAGTAAATACCGTCCTCTTCATCTAAATGCACTGGTGGTAGTGTTGGCCTTAATAGCGATTTTCGCCTTGATTGGTTTCTTTTAATTGGTTTGCTTGTATTTTTTAGTTTTTCTTTAAATTCTAAGTACACCATTTTGAATCTGTTGTTTGATTAATCCAATGTTCATATGTATTATTTTACAATTTAACAGTTCTTTCGATATGTTATATTTTGTTTTCTATTTTAATTTTTTAGTCTTCTTATGTCACCATATCTTATAGGGTTATAAATTAAAACATTTTGCTTAAGAACATACACATGGGTAATTTAACTACATACATAGAATATGTACAATATAACGAAAAGTCGCTAAAATTTTTTAAAATACTAAAGATAATTTAGAAATATGCAAATCCAAAAAGTGAACTGTTTTAATTATGCAAGTATTCTTTAAATATTACAAATGTATTTATGTACATATTATATACCATTTTATATACATATGTATGTACATATGTGTGAAAACATGCATTGTATATGTATATACACATTTATTTATTTTTTTATTACATATTTATATTCATAGTTTCAGATTGAAATTGTGCACTTTATACACTTTAAAGCTAAAAATAGAGAAAATAAGGACAAACTAAATTGTATGTAAGTATTTAATTGTTTAAGTACTATGCTTGTAATGGCTCTGTTAATGTACATACATATGTACATGTATGTACATTAGTGTGGTCCCAAAATGGAAGTTGCTGATGTTCCCACCGAAAATGAAAATTTAGTTAATTCTCAAAATGTTTGTCCTAACGTAAATTTTTGGTGAGCTTGGTGATCAAAGGATAAAAAGTCCTTTTTTATGGTTTTTATGAGTGTTACCATATTTCTTGCAAATAAACCACATGCATATTTAGTATCATATGAAAGTTCTTTGGAAGACGATTTCAATGACATAACAAAATTTTGTATACAACAGCAAAATTATTAAAAATGTCGTAATATTTGGGACAATTTTTAAGTTTTTAACATTTTAAATAGAATTATTTAATGTAATTAATTAAATTTTTTTAATTATAAACGTCATAATATAACCGAAATGGATTTTTCTGTTTTTCGAAAACGTTTTTTTGCTATCAAACTTGTAGTAAAGTGTTTCTTTTTATTACATTATTACATTCGTACAAAAGAAAATTTCTTAGATTAAGCTCTGAAGCCATTATTTTCAATTTAAATACATACCTATCAAAAATCTATTTATTGAAATTAAACAAGAAAACAATAGCCAATTCAAAACCAAAATTTTACTTTAATTAGTCAACTAGCGATTAAAAATTGTTCAATATTGTTTGGTTCAACCTTTATGCTTCACATCCGAATAAAGCAATTTTAGCCGAAATTATAATTTTTTTATTACACATATGTACATACATACATACACACATACATGCTTATGAATATTTGTATGTGTTTAAACTGAATTAAAGTTAGATTGTATTGTAAACACTCATCAAATAGTAATTTTGCGCTATTTTATATTTTCTTTTTGTTATACAAACATACATACATACATCTACATGAACAGTTGTATGTAAGTAACTATATATGTATTAATTCATGTTTTCCTACTTTTCTTTTCCACCTCCGAGTATTGAAAATGATGTACTACAAGAAAAATACACTCTCATCTTCATCTATTAATCCACAATACAAATTCATATGCTTAAATTTATTTATTTAATGAGAGATGGTGAATTTATCCATTCATCCTTATGTAGTGTTTTTGGTATTCGTTTATTTATGTTCTCATTTAAAATCCATATGATTTCAAACTTTCATTTAACTTTTAGTGGTGGCTCCTCTTCCATATATATTTCAACACCACAAGTTAATGGTTAATAATTTGAAAGCTTTTTTGACTGTTAAGTGAAGTTAGCTGCGATTTAATAAAAGCGCTTTAAAAGCTAAGAACCTTGATTTTTTCCGATAAAATTGTTATGTGTGTATTTAATAAAATCATACAATTTAATTTTATCTGATTTCAAATAAAAATATTAACATTTCGTGTATGAATTATGATTTTTATGGTATAATTTAGTATTTTATTCATAGATATTCTGCCAAAATAAGTACTTAAAGCTTTTGTTTCCCCTTACGTAGCTCAATGACAATGTGCCTACAACTTTTTATCGTCATGTGTACATACTAAAAATCATAAGAAAATCGAATTTTCGGAACGTAAAATTCTATAATTTTCAGAATTCACTTCTTGAACATAATTTGATTTAAAAACGGAATATGATTAGTTTCAAAACTTTTTTATATAATACATTTATTTCACTTTGTTAACAGCACTTGAAAAAAAATATAAAATACATAATTGTTATGTTATACAGAAAATTTTACTTTTTTTCCTTTATTCTTAAAAATAGGATTAGTTTAATTTACGTTATTTGTCACACATTACAACATTTATTTTAATTTTACAAATATTTTAAAATTAAATATATTGTGAAGGACAACCATGTCTATCCCAATTTTTTTTTTTTTTTTTTATTTCATTTTCATTTCATTTTAATATGAAGCTATTATTTATGAGTATTGATTCACACTGCAATCGCGACGATACTAAATTGCAATTTCTAAAATTTCTATATAAAACGTACAATGTTCCTTATGAACGGATAATATGCGAAAAGCTCTATATTAGAGCTTTTTATTTCTATGAACCACTAAAAGGGGGAGTTGATTCGTATTGAAATTTCCGCCTACTCGTAGTATAAACCATCCTTAGCGGAGTAAACAGGTTCATAACCTGCACCACTTAAAACAAATTTGAACACTTTTATATACGAGTCTTTCCATACACACATACTTACTATTATATATGTATGTTTGTATTTCCCTACTCTTTTATTGTGTGTTTGTATGCATACACATACAAATGAATAATATTTCGTTTAACACAATTTCCCAGCAAACAAAAAACAGAAATTCATTCACACATCCTTTATTCTAAATTAATAAATAAAACTACACTGAAAATAATCCATGCTCAACTTTACGAAAAAAAATTTCGTAACTTATATTTTCGTAATATTTACAAAAATTTCGTGTATAATACGAAATATTACTTAATAAAACCCTTTTCTATTTTTACGAAAGTACGAAAACCTTTCGTAATATTTTTTTCTTAAATTCTAGCGAAATTAAACATAATAATATTAAGTATATTATCATAAAATAAAACTACTACATTTTTATAAAATTTAAGAAAAAGTATAATATAATTGACGAACTATTTTCATAAAAAAAATAAAAATTCGTGTGGAGCATAATTTTGAACTAAAATTAGAAAAATTTTTTTAAAATGAACAAAAATGTTTGCATAAATTAATATTTCGTAAATTTGACCATATTTATTCAAAATTCACTTTTTTTCTATTTATGTAAATTAATTTTTCCAAGATTATTTTGCATTATACTAAAATATTTCGTACAATTTCGTATATATTACGAAATAATTTCTTGGTGCGAAACAACGAAAGATTCGTACAATGTACGACATTTTTCGTATATATTAGGCATGGATTTTTTTCAGTGTATTTATATGAAAGTCTTTAGTATGACGCACATTTTGTAGTGTTCACTTCAGAAAACCGGTATTTTAGATTATGTCAGTCTTCTAGCAAATGAGCGATATGTTTTAATTTCAAAAATTTAACAAAAAATCTTTATCATATAGGGGTAAAAGGATTTTCTATATGTTCTTTATTACTATTTTTTTGTTGCAAATATTTTTGTTTGCAATTTTCAACATTTAATTTTTACCACCTTTTATTAAATAGCTCAGAAATGGCGAATCATTCTAAAATACATTCTTTAGCTAATGGGCTCACATAAAATATTTCCCTTCAAATGAAACCGTTTTAAATTTATTGGTATTTGATAATGCATAATATGTACCACTGTATACATACATATGTACGTACTCTCTTCGTTCAATTATACATTTAAGTCTGATTCTGTCTGATTGCGTGTGAATTCCTTGACATTTTCGTTTTTACACATAACTTTTTTATTACACCAGTTAGTTGTTTGCATGTAAGTATGTATGTATTTATTTTAATACCTTTGTAAATCCACATGTACATATTTATTTACATACGTATATACATATATATGTAGATACATACGTATGAAGTACATACATACGTTAATATTGAATTGAAAATATTTAATTTTTATCAAGGCTTAGTGTTATATTACGAATAAGTATTTTTTATAGTAATTTAAATTTTTTAACACTAGATTGGTCTAAAAACTAAACTTATTAAAAATATGTAGAGAGATTTTCACTGACCGATAACGGAGAAATTAACTTTTTAAAATATTTATTTGAAGAAGTTATAAAATTTAATCGCACTTAAAAACAAAATTGGAAGATGGTGTAATTGTGCTACAATAATTTTTTTGTATTAGTTATTTTACTTTGCTTCTTTTAATTTTATTTGTTTTATTGTCAAAGTACATATTGCTTTTAAATGTGCAAAATGCGCATGTCATAATTTCCATTGACTGCTAATATTCATAAAATAAATAACAGTATTTAGAATACATCCCTGGTTCTACTGTGAATAGTTACTTACATGTGTACATACATACGTACATTAGACCGACTCACAAAAAATGGTGCTTGAGTTACCCCCTCAAAATATACCCTGTTATGTAATATAATGTTTCCGAAAATATTTTGGGTTCAGTGTTGTCCGTTCGTGAGCTGGACAGTTTTTAAGAAAATATCCTATGGGAGACACGATTTTTCATGTTCAATTCAATATTTTACCCAGCTTCAAAAAATCTTTATTTTGTTTTATGATGGTTCCCAAAACAAAATTTAACAAAATATACAATATATCGAGCCCTTGTCGCACAAAACACGTAACCGGCAAAAACTAAATTTTACAGGAGAGCTTTTTTTTTTAATAAATAATTTTTTTTAATAAATATTATTACATCTAAAATATGGGATACAGTTTGTTTCGATTTTATATTGACGATATATCCGATTTTTTGTCGCTTACGTCTTTTTTGCCGAGACAAATTTTTATGATATAAACAATGTTGAGGCGGTTACGTCTAATTCTCTGTCTAAAAAATATATTTTTTGGTGTATATCTTTATAAAATTTGTATAAATCTGAAATTTAAGAGTGTAATAAATATTTTTTATAAGTTTTTAAGATCATCTAGGGATGTCTGTATGTCAGTCTTTTTGTTGAAACCCGGATAGGTTCCGACCGTTATGAGCTAGAGTGATGAAATTCTCCAAAAATCCTTATTAATGACAAATATTGTTTTGTGTTAATAATGGGCAAAATCGGTTCTTGATTTCACTTAGCCCCCATAAATTACCTCCCGGATTATTGTTAAAACATTAATAAATATGTTGTTTATGTAGCAATCGCTATAAAATTTTGCAGAAGTCGGTTATATATACCTGTAAATTATGTTGGGAAGTATGACAGATGTCAGGCAATATTTAACCCTAGCCTGCATACAATCATTGTAAGACAATCATTGTATGACCATAGCAGTCTTAAAAATATCAGTATAGCAACGAAATTTGATGTATGATGATGTTTTAGAATGGTTTCCTATGCCCCTCATACAGAAAATAAGTTTACAGTTAATAAATCTTTCAAAAATTAAGAAAGTATGATGAAATTCTACAAAAAAATTTGTTTTCAAAACTAATCACGCGTTTAAATTCTATAGACCTCGGTCCACAATTGACCTAATCCCTCATTAAAGGCCGTATTCTGAAATCACCCTGATGTCCACATTAATATCCATACATGGTAGTACAATTCGTCTTACATCGAATAAATAAGTAAATTCTGGGAGTATTGATTCATTAAGAGTCCATATACAGGTCCGCCTTCCGAAATCCACAAATTTACAACCAAATATAAGAGTTGGTTAAATGGTAATAATATAAATGCAATGTAATTAGTAATTAGAATGAACTAAATTCATATAAAGAAAATTATAAATTTTAGCACATAAATTGCAATGGCATAGTGATAATTACATGAATTCATTACAATTATACTCAGATATGTGGCATTTCATTCAGAAACAAATTTAATACGTTAATTTGTTCAAAATTTTTCTATAAATTTAATATATTTTAAAAGAAAATTTAGACGTAACCGACACTTTGCTGTTAAAAAATTCATAAACAGAAAATTAATGTGTACTTACGTCTTTTTTCTTGTAAAGTTGAAACCATTGGGTCTATAGCTACGAAATTTTTAGAGATGATGCTAATGGATCTAAATGATCGATTTCTATAAAAAACGATAATCGAAAATCAAGTCGCTTACGTCCATTTTGCAAAAAGGGCTCGATATGGTATAATTTGAAAGGGTTTTTAAAGCCACGTTTAGTGGTGTGCAAAATAAATATTTTATAAAATATACTAGTGTAGGGTATCATATGTATGTTTGGTCATGCCCGACTATATTTTCCTACTACCCCACAGAAAATATATAGCTTACTACATTGATATTGTGTTGCCTATTTTGTATTCGAAAGTGATTACAAACTTACACTCTGGCTTACTTTACACAGGGTATGGCCGCTTTAAAATGACACACTAACTGATATACTTGGTTTGCGATATTGTGTGTAGATTATACTTTTTTTATAATATACTTGTGTGTGGAAAAGTAGCTATTCCTACATTCTTTCTATTCCTACACTCTTTCTAGCTGGAACACAAGTGTATCAAAAAGTATCTACAACAACTTTCTAGTTTAAATACATGTGTATTAAGAAGTATCTAAATATGTATATTTTTTAAAAAATGCTAACCAATTACATTTATCTACAAATTCATTCATAAGTATAAGGCCATTCCAATTATCGCTAGATCATGATCCTAATTTTAAGCAATAAATGAAAAAATGTTAGCTTTGTTCCTTTACTTGTCAAGTTTGCAGGTTTTTACCAGAAATTGTAAAAGAGAACAAATTTGAGCAATTAAAATTATTTTCTCTTTGCCAGAACTTGCAGGTTTTAGCCAGAAAATTTTTTCCTGGCAAATAGAAAAAAATTGTCAAATAAATTATTTGTTTAAAAAAATACATTGAAAATAAAAAATGTTTGATATTTTTGATTTATTTTCATAAATAAGTATGTGTGATTGTAGTTTTTCAATTTTATTTTAATTTCAATAGAAATTTTTATGAATAAACTTCAATACAAATTTATTGAAAGAGAAATTTAGTTTTTTCTGTTCCCGTACTTTTTATAAGTACGAAGAGAAAATTCATTAATTCTCTTTAGCCAGAAAAGTTCTGGAACAAAGCTATAGATCCAAAAAATATTTTTTTGTTGATTAAATTACAGCACACTTGATTTTTTTATATTTTAATTTTCTGTTCTCATATACTATGTTAATCACAAGCAGATGTTTACTGTAATTTCAAGTTAATATAATTAAACAAAATGATTTAATATAAACATGTACTAGTGTTCTATGGTTGAAATAAAAAGCCTAATATTTTTAATTTTTAAAAAGTCGACTTTACATACATACAGTGGCGGAAAAAATAATAGAAACGTTTATATTTCGGATGAAAAATTTATTGTCATGCAACAACTACCCGTCAGAATTTCATGATTAATATCTCAAATTAATATCAAATTAATATCCATTTAATATCCAAAACTGTTTCGGCTCGAAATCTTATCATAAGTAAATTTTACAGATAATTAAACATTTTTAAGTAATGAACTTCATTTATTTTTCAAGTAGGACCTCCGATTCAGCTATCTAAATAAAGTGTTGAAAAAGACAACATCAACATAAAAGAATGATATAAAAATCACATTTTTATATAAAAAACGTAATTTATGATTAAAACTTTTAACAATTAATGCATAAAAACCGTTTTAATAAATACAATATTTAAAATATTACTTTATATCCTCTTTGCAATACCATGAATCGTTTCTATTGTTTTTCCAGTATCGCTATTACTTAAATATACAAATAAGTTAAAACAAGTATCAAACCTAAATTACGGATAAAAGTAGAAAAATACCTTTCATTTGATATTAATGACAACAAATGTTTCATCCTAGATTTAACCGTTTCTATTATTTTTTCCGCCACTGCATTTAAGTTGTTTTTTATAACTTTTCAGGAGAGCATTTTAACATTTAAAACCGGATGAAAGATCAAACATTCTTCAAAAGTTCCCATTGGCTATACAAATTCTCCTGTTTGGAGGTAAATCAAATCTGGCTACATTAATCACTCATTTATTAGAGATGGGAAAAGGGTAAATCTTAGGGTGATCGACTCGGGTTTTCAACCGGCTTTAAAACCGGTTTTTCTGCTTTACCAGTGTCGGTTTTTTCTAAATGTTGATTTTTCGAATATCGAATAACCCGGTTTTTTTTACTTTTTAAAAACCAGTTTCGAATACTTTTATTTGCTTTGTATACAAAGATTACTTAAATTAAATTTTGAAGTAAATAATAATACAGCCCGTCTAAATTTTAAAAATATTGGAGTCTAGCAACAAGCGTATATTTCTCTAACACACTTTTTTTAACTTTTTTTGATTTTCCTAATTAATTAACAAATTTTATTTGTAAAAATTATTGGAATAAATGTTTGATAAAATTTTATCTATCTTAAGATTATATTCCAATTACAATAATTAATTTACGGCTAAAATATTATGGAAGTGTTGGAGTGCCTATGAAAATTTTCTAAATAGGGATTTAAGAATAAGCTAGGATTACATAGTTCCTAATGTTTACAGAAGTGTATCACCTTTTTCCATTTTTTAACATTAAAGAAATAATGTAAATTAGACGAGTAGATTTAAAGTTATAATCGTTTAAACCGTTAAAAATTAGTTCGGGCCATGTTTTATTAATCAAATTTATTTTTTCAAATTAAAATAAATTTTTTTATTTATAATGAAAACCCGGTTAACCGGGTTTTTCTGCATGTGAAAAATGTCAACCGGTTTTTTTCAAATGTCAACTATTCGATAACCGGTTTTTGGAAAATGTCGAATAATCGATCACCCTAGTAAATATTCAGTTGGTAAATACCCGGTTAAATAGGAAAATTTGGGTAAATACCCGGGTATTTTGCAAAAATGTGGGTATAAACTAAAAATTTGTTTTGCAAACCAATTTTGCATCAAAAAATCATTTATATTAGTGATGATAGTGTTTATAAAAAATCTACTTTGGGAAAAACGGGTTTTCGGTTAACCGGTTTATAAACACATACTATGTATAACCAATTTTATATCCCCTACACTTTGAAATACTTAAAATGTAAAATTTCCCGATTTCATAGCAACAAAATACATATATTAATAGCATCTGTTTTTAGAGAATAAAAAATTTTTCGCAAAAAATTGCTAATAATTCTTTTGGCGTGGAAAATCTTTTATTTAAAATCCTTTGAAACCCCATTAACTTGATATACATACTATAACATATATACAAAACTTAGTATCTGACCATTAACAAAATTTTCGTTGTTTTTTTTTTTTTTTTTTGTCATATATTTTACATAAGAAACATTCCCAAATATATGATTGTTAGGTTAGTCCAAACTTTTGGTCTTTAAGACACCAAATTTTTAATTAAAAATTATATATTAATAAATACCACAAAACGGTATTTACTAGGGTATTCAAACGATTAACCGTCGATCGGTTAATCGATCAATTTTTGACGATTAATCGCTCGAATAAATGAAAATTGCCAAATTTCAAATAACGAATAAACCGAATAATTTCTATCAATTAACCGATTGAGAAAAACTTACTATTTAACATTAAAATTACAGTATATTTTATACAAAATTCAATATTTTTATAATAAATGTTCTTCCTTTATTAATTCCTTAATTATTTTTCTATAATGAAGAAAATTTATTTGATGATTTTTATAACAATAATACTTCAGAAATATTTCAGGAATTTCTTCTAATTTACCTAATTCTAGAATGCGTTCATACAGTGATTAAAAAATTTACATAGAATTCAAATAAATGGAGTGTTTGTTATAGGAAGGCAAATTTTGTAAAAAAGCAATATTCGATTTACCGATTAATTTCAGGTAGAATTCCATCTATAATATCACTAGTTTACAACGATTTAGCTCATGATATAAAACATACAGTGAATCAACTAAGTTTTTTGCCTGCCTTTTTTTAAGAGAATTTTGTTTTTTGTTCATAAATAAAATCCAAAAAAACAGGTAAAAAGTAAATTTATGTTTTCCAATTGAAAATAGAGATTGTGTAGAATGGGAAAACCAAGAAAAAAATATTAAAATAAAAATTTTAGTGCATTTGTTGTTGCATTTTATTATTTTTCATCAGAATTTGCACGTCAATAAAGTATTTTGCATATTGAAGTTTCCAGTTAATTTCGTTGGGGTTTTCAAATTATTTTTTATTAATTGCTTTTTGGAATTTATTGTTTTATTGTTAAAAGGACACGTGTTAAGTATTTTTCAATTGTAATTTTCAAAAATCATATCCTTATTGTGTGAAACTGTGTAGTTATTTGCGTTAAAAATGTTTGAAGGGAAAAAATGAGGCAATTCCAATATAAAAAATTAGTTTAGATTTTTAGAACAAGTATAAATCAATGAAATTCAATTATGAGATGTTTAATAAATCATTAAAAAATATAAAATATAGAAATTGATGAAATAACACAAAGAATTATTAAAAAAACGCACTGAGTTGTCTTTCAAAATCTTTAACTGCCAAAGGAGAGCGACTTGTATCCAAGCATAAACCATTGAAGTCCTCATTTATCTTCTCCCAAGTCCATATACGAACTTAAATGAACACTATGTTTAAATTTAGACCTCTAAACAGACCTTAGGTTGCTTGGAAACAATATAAATTGAACTATCGTGTGGTACGGGAAAAATACTTAATTTAGATATTTACAAATAGAGGCGGTTCTCATCACCTAAGATCCACAAAAGCAATATTTTACAGCTAATACATACACTTATATATAGTCAGAACCCAAATCAAAATAACTATCCAAATCCAACTACGCCTACTGTATTTTTTTCATAAAATAATGCATTCAAAATATGAGGTAGAATATCAAAATTCTAGCATGTAATAGTTCTATAGTTGTATACCGTGATATCACCATACTTAGAGTGGCTAGGATGGTACTTAGTGTTAGCTTTATTCAATAAGAATCAATATTATACAATTCTAAATAAAATTCACACAGTACTCCTCAAATAGATGGGATTTCCGTAATGTAGTTTTTGTTTATCAATACAAAATGACCAAAAACCCAGATTATTTTTGTTATAATCTATAGATTTATACCCCACTAAAATTTTTTTTCTAGGTCCAAATCCATTGATTTCCAATATATTATATATCATGTATCCAATTCAAAATTACTTATTATTTTCGAAATTAAATCAAAGAAACGATAGATTTCATGTTAAGTCAAATATTGAAATATTCTTATAGGTATATAGGATAATAAATCGATTAAGAAATGTCCAAACTTAGTTGTTCTACTACTAAAATATCTAAAAAATGTTATTCTAATATATAGGAGTAATAAAAATATTAAATTTTATAAAATAATGCAGCAATATTAAAAAAATGAACAAAAAACCTAAAAAAGCAAAATACTTTATTGACCTTAAAAATTAACAATACGTTCACATTTTATCAAAAATCTCGTTAATTAATATCACGATTTTACTTTTTATGGTAGAAAATTAAAATATAAGATATTCTTTAAAAATAGAACAAACAAATTGCTTTATTTTGCTAAAAATAATTGTTCAGATAAAGTTTTTTCTTAAAATTTATAAAATTTTACATAGGCAAATTACTTAATTGATTCACTGTATATGGATTTCTTTATTTTTATCGTCTAATTCTTGTCAATGTCTTGTTATTTTTTCTATCGAAACGAAATATTGAAAGTTTTCATACAAAAATTAGTTTAACCGGCAGATTATCTACCGGGATTTTAAGTCAAAAAATGACTAAAAATCGGTCAAAAAGTCCTAAATTTTATATTATTGATTTTTTTCTGAGTTGATTGTTAGGTTCCCAAAACAGGTGCAAGCACCCAAAAGTCAATATTAATTTTCAAATATTTTTCCAGCACTACTGATGGAAGATGGTAAATGAAACCACTTTATCTCAAAATTTCGATGTATAGGAAAAAAATAAAAAATGTTTATTAACCACCGGACATAGCCCATTCCAAAAATATATGAGCAAACAAAAAGTATTAATTTGTGTTGTGTAATTATCTGATCGACAGACTTGTTTGTGTGTTGCCACTAAATTTCAAAATGCGCTTTATGCTCAAGCGTTTTATTTGCCATCTTGACAGACGTTATTATTGATCAGCTGGGATATGTGTATGTAGATCTGCTTTTATTATTCGTAAAAGTTTAATGAAGTATTGACGGGAAATGTTTCTTCAAAGTTGCAGATTGCTAACGTCTTTAAGACTAGTTTTAGCCAGGAATATATCGAAACGTTATTCCCACATGGAACGAAAGGTGAAAGTAAATGATATTGAAATTAACATTGTCGAAAGCGGTGGAGGAGACAAAAGTGTTTTACTTCTACCGGGTGCTCTGGGATCTAGTTGGACTGATTTTAAGCCTCAAATAGAACAGCTTCCTAAATTATTGCCAAACCACAGTATAATCGCATGGGACCCTCCTGGTTATGGCAAATCTATTCCCCCAAAAAGACAATGGGGATTGGACTTTTTTCAGAACGATGCACTATACGCAGTTAATCTAATGAAAGCACTGAATAGAACTAAATTTTCAATTGTCGGATGGAGTGATGGCGGAATAACTGGATTAATTGCTGCTGGTCGCTATAGAGATAATGTAGAGAAATTAATAATTTGGGGTGCTGGGGCTTATTTGAATGCTGACGAAGTTCAAGCTTTGCAAAACATTCGAGACGTAAAAAAATGGTCAGCACGAATGCGCGAACCTATGGAAGAAGTTTACGGTCCTGAACGATTTGCAAAACTTTGGTCCGAATGGGTAGATGCGGTCGTACAGTTTTATACAAAATGTGATGGAGATTTTTGCAAACAAGAAGTTGCATTAATAAAAGCACCAACCTTTATATTACATGGTAAAAAAGATCCAATGATTGCCGCTGAACACATTCCTTATTTAAAAGAGCATATACAAGGAGTCAAGTAAGTTCATACTTACCAATATAATTTATTTTTGGGAATATATATAAAGTCATTTACTTGTTTTTGCAGATACTTTGAATTTCCAGATGGCAAGCATAATATACATTTGAAATATGCTGACGAATTTAACAAAAAGGTTGCTGATTTCATATTAGGAAATTAAAGTAAACATTTGTACATGCATACAAATACATATGAATGTATATCGTCATATGAAATCCAAAAAGCCCTAAGTCACATTGAACAAATTTTTCAGGAGAAGCAAAAAATGATAAATAAACCAAAAATGTTCAACATTTTCTCAAGTTAAGCTTATTTCTTATTGACAAATTATTATTTGAAGAAAAATTTGCGGTTTTTGTTTTACTTACGGAGATATGAAGAATTGAGAATTTGTTTTTTCTGAAACCCAAAAGGGCGCAAGTTACATTAAAAAATAGTAAGTTTTAACATTTTCAAATCGGTTTTTATTGGTCAAATAGGCCGAAACATGGAAGGCATAAGGCTTCTTTATTTTCATAAAGATTTTACGAAATTGAAATTTTTCTTTAAAAAAATTTAAAACTTTTCGAAACGGTGAAAAAAGCGGTATCGGTATTTAAACTTTTTTCGGCGACGGCATTTTAGCGGTATCGGTGTATTGGCTTAGTTCAGTAACGGTATCTTTTTTTACCGTTTTTGGACATTTATTTCCTTTTTAGAATTTTTAAAAGAATATCGTTTTTGGTATTTAGGTTTATTTCGGTAATGGTGTCTTGTTATCTCGGTACTTTTATTTTAACGGTAACAGTAGTAGTTCTAAAAATGTATTTTTTAGAATTATAGCTTAGCGATAATGGTTGCCAACCTTAATTCACATAGTTTTGAAAACAATGAGTGTTTAATTGAAATTCCGAGAGACAATTATATAGGCCTATACAACAATGGCCTATTTTAACTAAAATCAATAGGTTTCGTCAAAAGTAAAACATGTATCAAATTTCATCGAATTATTTTGATTACAGACAGATACGCATAAAGTTTATGACTATCCGTGGTTTGCTTTTCTTAATTTTTTAATTAAACCTAAATTTACTTTTTAAAAAATAGCCAATTTAATCAGCTATATTTTTATTTATACGTTTTTTCATTAAATTTTCCTTCCCGAAAAATTTCGAGGAATTTAAGAAATCAAACAAATTCTTTTTGAAGAGATCTGTCGTATACATAAAAATGTTAATATTTTGATGAAAAACATTTTTCTCTTCTTGCAAACGGTTTAATATAAAAATATCCAAATTACTGTTGTTGTGGGATATAAATTAAAATATATAATAAAAGATATAATAAAATATGTTTTACTCAACAACAATGTGTGTATTAATTTAGTTGTGCTTTCAAGATTGGCACATAGTCATCATATTGGGCCTGATAATAATTACCAGCAACAGGATCCCCCAACTTATAATTGGCAATGTAATCGCGGGTCTTTACGCTCAAACGACCCTCACGAGATCTAAAGAAAACAAATAGTGATAGATTGATGATATATTATGGAATTTTTATATACGCACTTATTTGAAATAAACGTATCTGTTGAAATTTTTTGTGTTTGTTTAAAAACGAGGAAAACATAGCGATGTAAGCCACTACCTTCTGGAGGTCCCGATCCAATGTATTCCGCAACGACTTGTCCTTCAGAAAGTTTACATCCCGGTATATTGATCACGAGCCAATGCAAAATTTCTCTATATGTTGGCGTTTCCCGTGATGGTGCATCTGGATCTACCATTAATAAAGTGTACAATGATCCCTCCTCTGCTTTCCATGTAACTTCAGGCTGATCTTTAACTTGCCTTGGTTGTAATTCGTTTCCTAAGGTAACACTACTATCACCATAAGTCACGCGGGCAATAGTTGCAGGCTTACTGTCAATAATATCAGGTATAATTCCACTTGTGTCCATTTTTTAAATTTCTCTATTGCACACTGTTCATTCGATCGCGTGTACAATTATAGTCACCACTCTAAATTTATTGTTTCAATTTTTATTCGAATGCAGATACATATATACCTACAATGTTTGTATGTATATCCAAAACTATTGGATATCGCACTATGTAAAAACGTAACAACTCAAAAAATACATTTTCAAAAAAAAATATTACAAATGTTTTTACTATTTTTCAAATATGTGCATTCTAATTAGTTGACGCGTAATATTATCTATCAAAATATATGAATACAAATTTATTTTTAATGTACTTACCATAAACTAAATATCAATAGAAGAACAATAACATAATAATGAAAGCTTTGAAAGTTTGATGTTAATTTTTGTAATTCTTAAAGAATTTTTAACAAAAATATCTGGGACAATATGACGGATTTCATATGACGATATGTAAATATGAAATCCAAAAAGCCCTAAGATACAAGTTAAGCTTATTTTTTATTGGGAAATTAGCATTTCTTTACATTAAAAAATAGTAAATTACAACATTTTTAACTAAATTAAAATCGGTTTTCGTTGGTCAAATACGCCGAAACATGGAAAGCATAAGGCTTCTTTGTTTTCATAAAGATTTTCGGAAATTGGATTTTTTTTTAATTCTAAAGCTGTTAAAAAAATCTATAAATCGCAAGATTTCGCTAAAAGTGACATTTTTGTTTTATTTGATGCCAACTTATAACACTTTACAATTTTGAAGTTAAAAACTCAAAAGATTTTTAAAATTTTTATGAATTTTAAGATATTTTTAGAACATAATCTTTTAGAATTTCGAAGATAGCTTAGGGCCTTTTGGATTTCATATGACGATATGTAGCAGAGACTAATATGTATATCTCTTCATTGAGTTTATGTTATATGATAGATTTTAACATGGCGGATATTCAAAATCGCTGGATTTTAAGTTATAACTCTTTAGGTGGAAATGTGAGATACATATCGCACTCCCAGTACAAAAGTGACTCAAGTGTAACATTTTTTTACTAATTCTCAAACATAAAAAAAGACATAACGTTTTTTCTTCAACAGTTAACAACAAAATGCACCGATATTATGCATTATAGATAAACAAGTATCTGGTGCATAGTTTAAGTCTTAAACTTAACGCTTAAAGATTATAAAAACGCAAAAGTAACATTTTAAGTTGAGTCACTTTTGCACTGAGTGTGTGATATATAAATAAGTCTTATGAATACAGCCGTAATGACAAATTAGTTTTTGTGTATTAAATTTCAACAAAAAACTATATAAACTAGATAACAATTATAGATAACAAATTATGGACTAGGTATTAAATTTTACATTTAACATTTTAATGTTAGACGCAAATTTCTTATTTAATTGAAAATAAAAAAGTGAAATATTTTTGAAATTGTGTACTTTAATGATCAGTCAAGTGGTAGCCTATTTCAAATAACGTGCCCATTTGTTGTAGGGGATTTCGTTTTTATTATTATTACAGAGACTTTTCTTCGGAACTGAATGTAATGTACAAATATCCAGGAAAAATATTTCTCCACAAATTACACCGTACAACAACAAAAAAAACGTTGCACACATGATTAATACCACACGTTGAAAACTACCTGGTGTAGTTATACTAAATTTTAAGTTTTTCATTCGTTTCTTCCTTTAAAATGACTTAGAAGTTTCAAAGTGACAAAAAGTTTTACAGTAAACTTTGCTTGGCCTAAGTAAGTCAATATGGGTATCAAATGAAAGGGGATAATCTCAGAATTTTGTGTAAAATGTTTGTGTAAAATTCATTTTTTGCCGCTTGTGTAGTCTATTTGGGCCTTAAAGGCCTTAAATATTTTATCAATGAAAGCAGTTCATAATACTTACATATCGTCACCTGAAACGCAAACGGCCCTAACTAACCAAAAATTCAAAGTCGATTTTATTGTTGATTTTAATTTATTGCATCAAAACCAATGTTCACAAACAAAATTGCACTCCTCCAACCAAATTTTGCGATTTAAAAACAAACGGCCCTATCTACAAAAATATTTAAATATTAAAGGTAAAAATTAAAATTTATCCATTTTTCTATACACCATTGTCAACTACTATAACATATGATAGGTTTCACTATTAAACAATTTGTTTATTGAATAAAAAGAAATCGCGTTGATAGAAACAAATTTTTCAATTTAAATAGTTTTTTGCTACTCCTGTAAAATTTTTAAAATGTTAGATAGGGCCGTTTGCGTTTTAGGTGACGATATGCTGAAACTTTTTTCTGTGTATGTACCTCAATTTTTAATGTCCTTTAAAAGGGACAATTGTACGAAAAATTAAGAACTAAGCATGCATTTTCCCAGCTATCATTTGGAAGATTGTTGGATGATTAATCAGTAAACTGAGTCATTTTTGACTCCTTTTGATAACCTAAAAGTGATTAATAAGTTGAGCGCTTAAAAAATGACTCGAAAATGATCCCGATATATGATTGAAAACTGAATATTTGAAAAACAATAACAAAATGTATAGCAATCATAAATTTATCATCCTGGTGTTTAAAATATGATGGTTTTAAAAATGTATTTTGTGGTCATATTTCAAGCAGTTGAAAGATCTAAAATTGTTCCTTATGTAATTGTTTTTGTTTGTAATGAAATAGCAACACTTACACTTAAAAATGATTCAAAAACTATTCAAAAATGAGTCGAAACTGATTAGAAATGGGGCTCAGAAAAGACTCTTTTGGAAGAGTTAGCAAAACATTTTGTGTGGCCTAAAATGAGTTGATATAATTCTCATTTCGTTTATAAAATTAAATGTATAAGTATTTGAATTTGTGTGATATTTATAAAGTCGATTTTCTGTCAAGGAAATTGAAATTATATTATGCTTTAATTATGATAATTTTCTGTATCACTAAACTAAGTCTAAATAACCCAATTAATGTTTAAAATCTGATTTATTTAAAAAACAATAACAAAATGTACACCAATCATAAATAGGTCATCCAGGAGTTTCAAATATGATTGTTTACAAATTTAGTTTGTAGTTATATTTCGCGCAGTCGGAAGATCAAAAACTGTTTTCCGTTGTATTGCATTTGTCTGCAACAAACATAAAAATTACTCAGAAAAGACTCAAAAATGACTATAATATGATTCGGAAATAACTCAAAAACGACCAGTTATTTAGCTCATTAATGACTCAAAAAAGATTAAAAAATGAGTCATAATTGATCAGAAGTGGGACTCATAAATGACTCATTTAGAAGAGTCGCGGGTAGGGTACCATTTTCTCCCGACGAATGTATCATTTATGATTAGAAAATGAGCGCATATATGATAATTTTAATCGTGCAGAAGAGTCATAAATGACTCGAATGTGATCAAAAATTTCAAAAAATGCTAGCTTACAACAAATTATGTAGTTTCATATGTGTGTGTGAAAAATGTCGAATTCGAGTTTTTTGAACTGAATGTTACAAGACATGCCTCATAATAAAGTCTTTTGTATCGATTTATCAAATTTCAAATACATACGTTTATCATTTTTTACGAGAAACATATTTTCCTCTACTATCTGAAGATGGTTTAAAAGTTTAAACGGTATTTAAAACAAATAGTAAATTGTCATTAAACATTCAAAGTCATTTTTCTCGAAACGATTTTTTTTGGATTATGGCAGTCTTGTAGATAATAAGCGATATGTGTGTATTAGCGATACTTTTTATGAACAGCATATAATAAAAACAGCACATTTTATTATTTTAATACTATTCGAGTATGTATATATTTGTTCTGTAATATATGGGTTCTAATATATATGAATATAGTGTATTGTATTAATAATAATATTTGTTCTAATTAACGATAACTTTATTTTTTATAATATTTTGCCGACTTTTTTCTTTTAATTTTTGGTTAATAACGATTGTTAATTCAAAATTTCTTGGTTTTTAAACATTTTATTATTTATAATGTATTTTACATTTACCAATATATTTTGAATAACGAGACATTACTTAGTATAAATTTTTGTAGTGACTCGTAATTGATGTCATATCCGACAAACGAATTAGGCTCTTTAGAAATTGAAAAATAAAACAAAATAAAAAAAAATCCTCAACATGCTTCAATTCACATCTACAGCGTTAAGATGCGAAATATTCAAATATGGTTTTATATAAGATAAGAAAAATAATTTATAAAAACACAAAATACGTTAAATGTTCCCGAAAATTAAAAAGCAAACATAAGATAGCGAGAGTAGGGGAATTTTTAGAAATTAGAAATACATATTAACTAATACAGTTATGTGGTAGATTGTATATTGTATATATTATTGGAATTACATATTACATTTTCTTTTCCAATTTTTCAAATTGGTAAAAATAAATTTCTTTTGTGGATTTTTTAACATGTTGAACTTGCCGATTTGTTGGTAATGCAAATATAAGTATTGTTAATGAGTTTTTCAACATACAATAACTTGAATGTATGCAACTAGGTTACAACTAGGAGGCTACATTTAACAACGTGTTTCGTAAAGACCACTGCGTCCGATATAACGAACCCATTTTACAACGTCGTGGTCAGAATAATTCAATTTGGGCTCAAATACTTTAAGATAACGAACTTTAAATCCAGACGGAGCAAATGGAACTTCAAAATTCATAGATATTGGTGGTCGAGTCCATTTCTTTTTAGTGTCTGTTTCAAGAAGTTCAATTTCAGCCGACAATTGGGTTTCTTTCATGCCTGCCATGCGTTTGATCTTCCATACAATGGCATTTTCAGATGCCTTGTATTTAGCTTTTCCTTTCAGACAAATCAATTGAACACCGGATGTATTAAGGGGCGTTGGAATTTTCACTTCAATTTTCTGTCCTAATAGCGATGGCTTAAAGTTCGACTTCAAAACAACTTTAACTTCCATTTTAGTGCGTCCCACCTCTCGAACTAGTGGTATAACGCGGAATGGTAACGATATATCTTTTGTTGTACGATAACGCATCAATTCGAATTCACCGTCCGGCGGTATAAAACTTATGGAGTGTTCTGTTTCAAATTTACTCAATTTAACACACTGATGGAATTGACAATCGTCAATTACGACAACTGGTTTGCCAGAACGAGATGTTTCGGCTTCAGAATTTCCAGATAGTCCACGTCCTCTCGATTCCATTACAATTTTGTCGTTAATGCCAAATTTACATTCCGGCATGCCTGTTAATATGTTAATATGACTTTTTTAATAATATGTTCTTTATTTCTTCAATTTACTCACCTGATAAATAGGACTTCATAACAACGCGACCAGCTACATGAGCAGACAACACTTGACCTTGAGGGCTCATAAGCAAGTTGACATATTCCAAAACATCTAAAAAGAGTTCATTGCGACGATATTTAATGCCTTCACGTCGCCAACCAATCTGTCCAGTAACCTATAACATATTCATTCATATATAAGTTAAATAATATAACTAACTTATATCATATATTATCGAGTACAACAAGAATCTGTTTTGAAATTCGCGAAACACCTTCAAAACTTTAAACATTTCCATGTGAGTTATGGACAATAAAGAAGGGAGTTTAGTTATAAAAAATAGTTCGATATTTCTCACAGATTTGTGATACCTGCGATTTTAATTTCGAGGATTTCGGAGAAAACAATATTTTGTTAACATTTTTAAAAACTGGCTTTATTCCTTACTGTTATGCAAGTTATATAATTTTTTTTCAGTATATAAAATTCAAGATGATAGAAAGCATGCGTCTGAAGTTTTAGTAAATTCGAATAATGTTAACCCATAAACTGTGAAGGTCAAATTCAAGCTGTGCAATATTGAAATGAAATTTCAATATTGCAATTTTCAATTTTCTTCAAACCATAGTTAAATATTAATTTGTTTTCAACTGAATTAAATGAGACTTAGGGAAAATAAACAATGAAGACCCGTGTTTAAAATGACATCGAAAAAATCGAAATTAACCCTTTAACGTAAATATATTTTTATAACATATGAAGTTCATATGTTACGTGCATTTCATTTTTTCATATTATCAACAAAATATTCGATACCATTTAGAGAGAAATGGTGGGTGATAGAGAAAAACAGGTATCATATTCGGTTTCAGCAGCTTAAACTACATTAAAATCAGTCAAATTGGTTTCAAAAATTTTCACAAACCTTCATTTCATTGGGCTGTGTTAAATAACATTATATCCCAGCAAAAAATAATTGATGTCATACTTTACAAACGACATCTTAATCACATCTAAAAATGCGATTGCATACTTTTCGCTTTTATAAACCAAACATATCCTTGCAAATGAAAACACAGTTAACAAGTAAGAGTGTTATATTCGGCTGTGCCGAATCTTGTATACCCACCATCAAAACATTGCCGAAAAGGAGTGGTTGCTTATAAATAAACTTTGATATTTAAGAATCGATGCTTTTGTTATTATCAAAACAATTTTCTCATTCATTACATCTATGTATAATTTTACCATCATACATATTATGTATATCGATAGGATCAATTATGGACTGATCCTCCTAAAATTTGGTAGAGAAATTTGTAACAAATTTTGTCGCTGTATTTGCATTTTTAAGGTAGTAAAAAGCGTTAAAGTCATTTTCTGAGAGGGACCTTATTAGGGAGGGAGGTTTGGTCAGTTATGGACCGATCCTCGTCAAATTTTCTAGAACGATTTTAGCTAGTAATGAGCGTTAAAGCCATTTGTGAAGGGGACCTTATATGGGGGGTAGGGTCAATTATGAACCGATCCTTATAAAATTTTACAAAGCGATTTAGTTTCCTATAAAATATGTTCATGTTGAATTTCATCGCTATAGATGCTTCTTTTGGACAGTTATGAGCGTTAAAGTAATTTTCTGAAGGGGACCTTATATGGGGGATAGGGTGAATTATGGATCGATCCTTATAAAATTTTACAATGATATTAAGGTTCCTATAAAATATGTTCATGTCAAATTTCATCGCTATGGATGCTTCTTTAAGGCTGTTATGAGCTTTAAAGTAATTTTCCGAAGGGGATCTTATATGGGGGGTAGGGTCAATTATGGACCGATCTTCGTAAAATTTTACAAAGATTTTAAGGTTCCTATAAAATATGTTTATGTCGAATTTCATCGCTATAGGTGCTTCTTTTAGTCAGTTATGAGCGTTAAAGTAATTTTCTGAAGGGGACCTTATATGGGGGCTAGGCGAAATCGAGGACCGATATTGCCCATTTTCAATACCAAACGAACTGCATCAACTAAAAGTATATATGCAAAATTTCAGCTCTCTAGCTACTTCCGTTTGGACTTTATCGTGTTTTCAACAGACAGACGGACGGACAGGGCTAGATCGTCTTGGAATCTAATAAGGACCCAGAATATATATACTTTTATGGGTCTTAGACGAATATTTCAATGTGTTACAAACGGAATGACAAAAACAATACACCCCCCATCTTTTTTGATGGTGGGTATAAAAATGAGGAAAGAGATGTAGAAAAGTCACTACAAACAACATATTCGAAGTACTTCAAATTTTGATGAAAAACCAATGAAATTTACATAAGCGTTTCATTGAAAGAATGTGGTTTATGTTTGACATACAAATGTCGGATTTTTACAGCTTCTAAAGACAGGATTAGATGTAGTTCAAAGTTGTCAAAAATGAACAACATCCCTCCAATGACACGCTAATGTAAAATTCATAGGTTTTTCACCTGAATTTGAAGCACTTCGGGTTACTATATAGTTGTGATGAAAATTCTCCATCTTTTTCCACACTTTTTTTGCTGGGTATATTTATTAGTGTCCGACCGAACATTCGGGTAAGGAGTTCGGCAAAATGTGAGGTTCAGCCAATCTACGGTGTTCGGCGAAATTTTGACTGAACGCCAAACTTTTTATAAAATTTGTATTTATCATATTTTTAAGCTCGAAAAATAATTTTCCGATATTGCTAAAAAATGGCGCCTTTTTAAATTGTTCCAATTTTCAGCTGTTTTAAAAAACTGTTAACCAGAAACTGATTAAAATGCTAAGAAAAGTCAAACATTTTAAGCGCCTTTCAATTCCTTTCAAAATACTAAAAGTTAGGACGATAGGACCTAACCGGGAGGAGATAAAGAAACAATTTCCATAAATATTCTCTATAATTAAATTGCATCTAAAAATCTACATGATGTTCATACTTTCATTGTGACTAAGTTTTTAATTTTATAAATTTGTTACTTTTAATCTTTAAGCTACGTTCACAATTATAGTGTACTTCACCAAATTGTATTCTGTTTCTTTTTACCAAAAATATTTTAAAATTGACTATATCGCTTTAATTCATTCCAGAATAGAGTACTCTATCACTGTGAACGTAGCTTAAATGTATTTTTTATTTAATAACAAAAAGTTCGGTTTTACCAAGCTTTGAAAACCGAACATAGTTCGGGTTCGGCCGAACTTTAAAATTGATGTCTTCCGATCAAGGTTAGTACTATGGGATAGCAGGCCGGACATAAATTTTCAGCTCTATCGGTCAAGAAGTCAGAGGGGTTCAAAGTTGGACATTTTGGTCATACAGGTATTTATTCAAATGAGTGTAACTTTTCACCTAGCAAAATTTGACCAAAGGAGTTCCGATTGCTATTTCTTCATTCTTTCCATTTTTATACCCTCCACCACCATCAGTGGTGATAGAGGGTATATATAAGTTTGTCGTTCCGTGTGTAACACCAAGAAATAATCATCTAAGACACAACAAAGTATATATATTCTGGGTCTGATTCGACTTAGCTATGTGCGTCTGTCTGTCTGTGTAAAACACGCTCACGTTAAAACTAAGCAAAGGAAATTAACCAAATTCACCCAAAATATTTATTATTTTCCTAAGCTGTTTGGTATTGAAAATCAGCCAAATCGGTTCAAATCGTAAAAAGTTATGAGTAAAAATTTCAGACTACCTCAAAAAAAATTAGGTTTTTTTCATAATTCTTTTGAAGTTTTCTCAGAAACTACCAAAGATATTTCGATGAATTTTGTCACACATTATTTTTTCAGGGCAGTGATCAATTATATTCAAAATCTTTACAATCGATCCAATATTTCCCATAGCCCCCATACAAAGGTATATATTCCCGGAAATTAGTTTTTCGTTAATAACTCCCTCAAATATATCTCTATCAACACAAAATTTTGTACATGCAAATATAATATGAACAGAAATCATACTCTCAACGTAGTACTCAGTCGGTCCACAATTGGTCATAGCTCCCATATAAGGTCCACTTCCGAAAATCACCTAAACGCACATATTTCATTGATGAATAAAGTTATTGTGATAAAATTCGAGTTAAATATATTTTGTGTACATACAAATCATTCTAACAAATTTTTTACGGATCGGTCCATTATTGGTCATAGCTCCCATATAAAGTCCACTTCCGAAAAACACTTAAACGCATATATTTCATTGAATTATAAAGCTATCGAGATAAAATTCGACACAAATATATTTTGTATACATACAAATCATTCTACAAATTTTTTTACGGATCGGTTCATTCGGTTTTGTGTACATTCAAATCATTCCACCAAATTTGTTATGGATCGGTCCATTATTAGTCATAGCTCCCATATAAGGCCCACTTCCGCAAATCACTTAAAAGCACATATTTTATTGTCAAATAAAGCTATCTTGATAAAACTCGACACAAATATGTCTTGTCTTTATATGAGTTACTCTACGAAATTTTTTCCTGATAAGCTCATAATTGATCATAGCTCCCATATAAAGTCCATTTCCGAAAATCACTTAAACGCATATATTTCATTAAATTCTAAAACTATAAGGATAAAATTCGACACAAATATGTTTTGTGTACATATAAGTAAATCATTCTACCACTTTTTTCCCGGATCGGTCCATTATTGGTAATAGCTCCCATATATATAAGTCCCACTTTCGAAAATCACTTAAACGCACATATTTAATTGTCAAATAAAGTTATGTTGATAAAATTCGACACAAATATGTTTTATCTTTATATGAATCAGTCTATAAAATTTTTTCCGGATAGGCTTCCATATAAAGTCCACTTACAAAAATCACTTAAACGCATATATTTTTTTGAATAAAAAAGCTATCGGGATAAAGTACGACTTGAATATGTTTTGTGAGCATATAAATCATTCTACCAAATTTTTTCCAGATTGGTCCATATATGGTAATAACTCCTATATAAGGTCCACTTCAAAAAAATCACTTAAACGCACATATTTCATTATCAAATAAAGATATCTTGATAAAATTCGACACAAATATGTTTTGTGTAAGGTCATAGCTCCTATACATATAAAGTCCACTTCCGAAAATCACCTAAACGCACATATTTCATTAAATAATAAATCTATTGTGGTAAAATTCGACTTGAATTTTTTTTGGCATATAAATCATTATACGAAATTTTTTTTCTTATCGGTCGATAATTGGTCACACCTCCCATATAAGGACCATTTCCGAAAATTACTCAAATGCACATTGACAATCAAAGTTATCGAGATAAAATTCGATCCGGATCGGTCCATAGGTTGTCTTAGCTCCCATATAAGGTATACTTCTGAAAATCACTTAATACCACTAAATTCGTAATTAAATGATTATATCCGGATAAAATTCAAAATGAGTATGTTTTGTGTACAGATAAATCATGATATTGAAATGTTTTTAAACTGGCCTATCAATACACATTTTTCTCGACCTAAATAAAATCAGTTTGACATATGCATTTGCCAAATTATCTAAAAATTAAATAGTTAAATGGGTTTTAATAAAAAGTAGCTTGCTGGTAGAGGGTATTTAAGATTCGGCATAGCCGAATATAGCACTCTAACTTGTTTTTATTTTTTTTTTTAAATATATGTATATTTTTTTCAAAAGCGGCCCTTTTTATTTTTTTATTTTTTGCTTAAAAGAAAGCTTATACAATTTCCTTAAAGGGCTATATAGTCCTATAATGGGATGCGAGTGGGATATCCATCAAAAAAAATTATTTTTTAACTCAAGAATAAATTTTTTTCAATATTTGGCACTTAATTTTCCAATATTTTTTTCAAAATGTTCGTTTTTGTTGTATTTTTTTACTCAAAATAAAGCTTAGACCATTTTATTTAAGAACTTAGTGGGATGCAAGGGGCATATGTGGAAAAAAAAATAATTTAACTCAAAAACTTTGCTTTTGGAGTTAAAAAGCTCTTAAAGGCAATGGTCTAAGCTTTCTTTTGAGATAAAAAAAAATACAACAAAACTTCCTTTTTGAAAAAATAGGGGAAAATTAAGTGCCAAATATTGAAAAAAAATTCTTGAGTAAAAAAATAATTTTTTTGACTTGCATCCCATTATGGAACTATAAAGGAAATTGTATAAGCTTTCTTTTAAGCAAAAAAAATAAAAAAATATTTAAAAAACAAAGAAAAAATTTAAAAAAAAAATTAAAAAAAATATATATATTTTTTTTTTTTTTTTTTTTTGGAAAGAGTAAAGAAATGACTATGTGAACTCCTTTGGACAATTTTTGCTAGGGCCAATAGGTGAAAAGTCACACTCATTTGAATAAAACCCTGTATGACCAAAATGTCCAACTTTGACACCCTCTAAGTCCGCCAGTTCTTGACCGATATAGTTGAAAATTTGTGTCTGACTTACTATTCAATAGTACTAACTTTAGTGCAAATTTCGTAGAAATCGATTTTTTGAGTTGGGTCCATATGGTTGCAATAATTAGTATTTAAAAATATCTCGCTTTTTGTGATTCCTACGACTTCAGATGCTACAATATTTCTGTTGATTTTTGTTCAATTAAATTTCCTACATTTTAGTTAAAGTCTATTTTTGCCTATCATTACTTATTTTCGAGCTATAGTGCATTATTTTTCCACTGCGCTAATATTTTTAAATCGCACCGATAACAAATTTGTCATAATTTTTACGTTATACATAAGCTGTCAACATATGCTTATATATTGTTATAGGTTTTATATCAGAATTCTTCAATGTCCCATAGTTCAATATCTGTCTATCCATAATTTCAAAAAGTGTCACAAATCATGATTATGAATTATATTTTAATGAATTATTTTTATAAACCAATATTCAATAACCCTAGGCCTATAAGCCCTAAGCGGTTACAAATTCCTACTTAAAATTATTCATTCAAAACAAAGTTATTATTATAAAAAAGAGCTAAGAACTAAATTATTAATAAAAGATAATAAACTATATAAAATAAATATTGGACAATTAAATTGTACTGCATTGATCATAAATAAATTCATACAAAAATTTCAATCTATCAAATCTAAATTAAAGAGGCAAAACAAGTTAAAGTAATGAAAAGAATATGTAGAAGTAATATATGTACATATAAAAGACATCAGTTTTCTGAAGAAATATAAAACAAATCGAAGAAAGTTAACTATCACCCCAATAAATATCGAATCATACAAAAATAAAGATCAAAAGTTATTTTTTATTTTCAATAAATTAGTGTTTTTAGATTTTCTTTTGTGCTTCATTTGTTTACAGATTTACATCCGTAAAATATAAAAACAAAATACATATACGGTTAATTCGAGGACACATAATGTCTGCAATTGTAAAGTTAATCGTCATTGTTTTATTTGCAATAATAGGCACCATCCTATGCTTCATATAGCATACAGAAATACCTACTGCGACCCGCTAGTTTGGCACACAATTCGCAACTGTCGACCACGTCGAATAATATTACGTCAAATCGTCAAGTATTTCATACTCGGCATAATCAGTCCGTACTCTTAGGGACAGCGACCGTTAATATAATACGTAATAACAAAAAGTATCAGGTCCGTGCTTTAATTGATCCGGGTTCGGAATGCTCGTTTATCACAGATCGATTACGGAAAAGGTAAAACATTTCCGCGCGATCTATGAATGTTGAAATTTCTGGTGTTAATAATACTGTGTCAGTTGTTTCAAGAAATATTTGTTCTTTCAATATCGGATCTAACTTCGATTCTTACGTAGAACCAAATATAAATGCATTTGTTTTGCCAGAAATTTCGACAAATTTGCCTATGTCTTGCGTTAACGCCGACATTCAAAAATTATTGCCAAATCTACGTTTGGCGGATTTTAATCCCTTTGATAGCCGGCCTATTGATATACCGGAAATAGAAAAAAAAATTTAGGGTCGTTATTAGCACGAACTGGATTCTGACAGTCCAGTTAATCCTAATTACTTTAATTCAGTTATTAACTTTCCGGAATATTCAACTTGGTCGAATAGGAACTGAAATACTTTTATCGCAAAATTTACTTGATTATAACGAAATAAGCTCACTAAAATATGTTTACGTTATGCCTAAAATAAGTATTGTAATTTATGCAGTTCATTCCGCTTAAGATATCGGGAATGAATTATTTGTTACAATATGCTTGAGATATTGCAAGGTGACCGGCAATGTTTAAGCGAGTTTTGTTGCGAGGTACATTTTGGCAATTGCTCCTTTTCATGAATAATACTATTTTTAATAACGTTAGTATATAATGCCAATTTTATACACCTTTGTTGGAAGATTCTAACGAGTAAACCGTTGACGGGACTTACATATTGTTTGCCACCAAATTAAGTTTTTTGTTCGTGTTATGTTTTATTTTTATACAAAATCTCGGACAAATTGGATTGATGCCAAACAGACTTGGTAAATCTTCTGTGTTGGAATCCGTCGGGAATAGACCTGTTTCCATTAATTTATCCTCTTTGCCTATCTTCTTCTTTCTTTCTTGTTTTCTTGTAGTGTTTTAGTTTCTTTGTCTTTGAATCTTCACTCTTTGGAGGGAATGGACCTCATGTTCTCCGAGTGAATATGCAGTTATGTGTCATTTTTTATTTAGCTATCTAAAATTCAGCAGCAAAACTCTTATTTCCTGAGCTATTACGTCTTAAAAAATATCTCAAGGAAAATCTTTTTGAAATTCGTAAATTTCACAGATTGAACACATTTCGTTAATGATGACACATGATTTCAAGTTGGAAATAAAATATAATTTACAAGTGTATAATAAAATTTAAGTTACAACGTATGACCATTGGTTTTTATTGTATTAAGATTCGCCTTTTAAAATCTTTCAAGCTGCTATTTCAATAGCATCAACTTTTCCACGTAAATACATACATATGTACACATAAACATATACACATAAGTATGTATGTATTTTGTTTTTGTTCCCTTATCAAATATATAATTTTTACTTAATTTCTTTTGTTTGTTACTCTTAATGTGTAGCCCCCATTTTTTGAATTTATTTGTACTTACTTGAGAAGTAATTTGCATCTGCTCTTCTTTCGTTGCTGACTTGATTCCTTGTTGAGTAATAAATGTCTTCAGAGTACCGGAATCAGTATTTTGAGGGTAACCAAAATCAAGAATTTCATCCAGCAATTCATAAATTAGAACAAAGTTGTTCTTTATATTTTCCTCCGAAATTTTACCAAAATACGATTGCATGACCTCAATGATCTTCAGTAAAAATTCAAAAACCATGGCAGCATTTACATTTTGTTTGGTCACTGCAGCCAACCAAATATTGGCACGCTATAAACAACATTTATGTTGCCGAGAAAATTATTTTATTATTGGTTTTTTCTATATACATGCATGCGTATATACAAGTAAATATTACCTTTATATGAAAAAAACTTGTCCTAGCTATATTAGTTACTGGAGATCGTACTTGCTGGCGAGCGTGGATGACGTTGACTCGGAACGCATCCACTGCATTGCGGCCGATATCATCTCGATAGACCCGACTAATTAGAACTTCGCCTTTGTGGTTGTATACAAACAAACCACCGATCATTTTTTTATAAAATTTTTTTGCTCAAAATTAAAATTTACTTTGATTTAATCTTAAATTAATTTTCCACAGGAATCCACTAGGCCACACAAATTTCTCTACAATTTATCTTTTTTTCATTCGCTAATTTATCGATTGACTCCCCTTTTTTACGTATGATGACAACACACCCCTGCGTCGACCAACATTAACGGCTGCGGTTAACTCTAAAAATTCGGCGGCGGCATAAAAGAATGTTTCAGTTTAACTGAAATATTTATACAATTTCACGTCGCGCTTTGTTTGTAAATAACATTTGAATGTTGTTTTTATATTATTAAGACATAATATGGAAAATTTTGTTCTAAAAAAATAACATTGAAACAATAAGTAGATATTAAAGGATAAAAATATCAAAAGACATTTTTGACATATTTTTTACTTGTTCTGTTGACATGAAATTTGGCATTGTTTGACCAGTTTTTCTCCATTAAACTTATGTAGTTTCAGACGTTCATGTCTACCGATTTTTTTCTCTTGTCGGACGCTGTTATACAACGTTTACAAAGGCTTTTTTATATTGTGTTTTTTGAAAAATACAATGAGTTTAAAAATAAATATCCACATACATTTTAATCATGTTTTTTGTTTTGAAATGTTTTTGGGACTCAAAAATTTACTTTATAAAATAAATAAATTCACATAAATTACAATTTAGTACAAAAACATTTAAAATTCTTTTAAACAATAAAATTTATATATTTTTTAATTTAAATTTTTGTTATTGACGTTTTTTGTTCTAGATTTTATTTCGTATAAAGTGTTATAACATGTAAAGTGTTATAACATGTTCTTTTTTTGTTTATTATTTTTCTAGTTTTAGTTTATAACTAATATTTACTGTCTGTTTCAAAATATGGAAACTTCATTTTCTTTGATATAAATATATAGAAAACAAAAACAAAATTTTTAATTTATTTGTTGATTTCAATATATTTGTAAGAAAGAAAATGTTCTTTCGCATTTAGAGAAACCGGCATTTAAAAATAATTTTCTTGTCAGAAAATGACAAACTTTGGCATTCTAAAATTTTAATATTCACAAGTTCCCAATGTTGGTTTTTTAAAATTCACAGGTTAAAATGACATTTCAAAGGTTGACAATCGTTTCCAAATGTAAAAATAACGGTCTTGTAAATTTCTATTAATTCCGTAAAGGTAATTTCGAAAGTTGGCCTCCGGTAGGTTAGTGATTAGTGTCCTAGTCTGGTAGACCGGAGGTGGTGGGTTCGAGTGCCACCTGAGGCACTGGTTAAGGATTATATTTTATTTTTAATGTGCAGAGAGATTTCAGTTGCTATGAAACAAACACACATATTTCAAAACGATTATTCATAAATTTTAATAAAACAATTTACGTTGAACGATGAAAAATACAACTCTGTAATGCAGTGACAGTATTATTAACGCTCAGTTTCATTGTTAATTCTATAAACAAAATTTGCAAATGCAACACATTCATTTTGTATGTGTTATTTTCGGTCATTTATTTCTCGTAGGGATATGTAGCTCAACCAAACATTCTTTTGACTTTCTCTCGAACTTTTTTTAATTATCAGTCGTTACGCACAGCACAAAATATTGTAAATACTAATGTGATAAATATCATACCCACTCGAACCATCGATCCATATACAAATTTTCAAAATATTTTTGATGAACTCGCTAGAATTTTTAAATCTTTTACATAATCGCTGTATTATACTAGATAATAGCTATATTGTCATCACTGGTGACTGGCAATTCGCATGCAGCTAACTTCATTGTATAAATGACTTTGCTGTCTTGAATCTATTGTAGCGAAAATATATTGTTTATAAAAAAAGAAAAATATTTTGGAGCCAATTGTTCTATATAAATAATTAGATTATAAAACGCAATGCCTGCCGAAAACTTGGAAGAACAAGGATTAGAGAAAAACCCTAATTTGGAATTGGCTCAGTACAAGTTTTTACTAACATTGTCTGAACATAAACATGAAGTGGGTTTAAAAAATAAGCTGTTGGATGCAGTTAAGTTAGACAATATGGCTCCTTTCTATGAATATCTGTGCAGTGAACTCCAGTGGGCAGTTGATAAAGATTTGCTTGATCGAATGAAGGAACAAAATAGAAAGGATCTGGAAAAGTTGGATGAAGCCATCGAAGATGCTGAAAAGAACTTGGGTGAGATGGAAGTAAGAGAAGCAAATCTTAAAAAGTCGGAATATTTATGTCGCATTGGCGATAAAGCTGAAGCAGAGCTAGCATTCCGTAAAACTTATGAAAAAACTGTATCATTGGGCCATCGTTTAGACATTGTTTTTCATTTAATACGCTTGGGTCTTTTTTATTTAGACCACGATTTGATAACACGTAATATCGAAAAGGCAAAATATTTAATAGAAGAAGGTGGCGATTGGGATAGACGAAATCGGTTGAAGGTATATCAGGGTGTTTATTCAGTAGCTGTACGTGACTTTAAAGCTGCTGCTACATTCTTCTTGGATACGGTTAGTACATTTACGTCTTACGAACTAATGGATTACCCAACATTTGTGCGTTACACGGTCTATGTTGCCTTAATTGCTTTGCCCCGCAATGAACTGCGCGATAAAGTTATAAAAGGAGCAGAAATCCAAGAAGTACTACATGGACTGCCGGATGTAAAACGTTATTTGTTCTCCTTATACAACTGTCAATATGCCGAGTTCTTCAAACACTTGGCAGAAGTGGAAATCGTTTTACGGAATGATTATTTAGCACATCCCCATTATCGTTTTTATGTTCGTGAGATGCGTATTTTAGCTTATACTCAGCTATTGGAATCTTATCGCTCTTTAACCTTACAATATATGGCTGAAGCTTTTGGTGTTAATGTAGACTATATTGATCAAGAACTATCACGTTTTATAGCTGCCGGACGGTTACATGCCAAAGTGGATCGTGTTGGTGGCATTGTTGAAACAAATCGTCCCGATAATAAAAATTGGCAATATCAAGCCACTATTAAGCAAGGTGATCTTCTTCTAAATCGTATTCAAAAATTAAGTCGTGTTATAAACATCTAATCACCCACAGCTGTATTTATATTATAAAAAATTAAGCATGCCAATTTCTTTATGAACATGGCTGCTAATTTCATTACTTTATCCAATAAATAAAAAATCATTTAGTCCCAAATATAATTTGTATTTTTATTTCATAAAACAATGGTAATTTATCTAACAATTTTACTATAAAAACTTAAAAAATAGGGAATATTAAAAGTATAAATTTAGGTATAAAAAAGTTATTCAATATAATAAAAAATTGTTAAAATAACAATGGTTAAAGGGTATTATAGATAATCATTTTTGTCATCTACAATTATTATGTGCATATGTATGTATATACATATGTTAAAGTTTGACACACATTCTTTTGAACATGTATGCACCTATCCGATTTTTCGTTCAGACTGTTTTCATCATCATCAATCTTTCACCACCAGTTTATTATTTTAAATCTGTTTATTTTGGAGTAAATTATAAATTAACCAAAAATATTCAGAATTTGGATTTTAATTAAAATCTTTGGTAAATAAAATAGTTTGCAGTGTTATAAATTTAAAATAATCTTAAAATAAATCAGTATATCTTTGGGAATGTCTTTGGTCAACTTAAATATTTTTATCATAAAAGAGTATTTGTGGATATACGAGACTATGTACGCTAGCTTTATTCAAAGGTAAAAAGTTCATTCCTAATTAATGTTTGAATCTTATTTTTATTTATTCTAAGCAATTCAAATTTATAAGTATTTTGTAATAATTGTGTTTATGTTCCTTGATTTTAGTTTTTTAAGAAAATTTTAAAAATCGACTGTGTTAAAAAATTATGATGAAATTGAATTTAATTCAAAAATTGCTATAAAAGCAAAAAATTAAGATATTTGTTGGTAATATAATATAGTAATATATATTAATATACATATCGTCACCTAAAACGCAAACGGCCCTATCAAACATTTTTAAAATTTTACAGAAGCAAAAAACTATTTAAATTGAAAAGTTTGTTTCTATCAACGCGATTTATTTGTAGTAAATAAACAAATTGTTTAATAATGAAAACTATATAGAAATGGATAAATTAGACTTTTTTTACCTTTATTATTTAAATGTTTTTGCAGATAGGACCTTTTGTTTGTTGTCAATTAAATTGCTAATTTTGGTCGTGTCCAATGTGTGTGGATTCAAATTTGTTTTGATTCAATACATTAGAATCAACAATAAAATCGATTTTGAATTTTTGGTAAGTTAGGGCCGTTTGTTTGCCTTTCAGGTGACGATATATTAAATTTAATAGAAATTCACTTATTATTCTTGATTTTATTACAATAAAATAAAGCACAAAATGCGTCTTCCTTATGTAAATAAAAATAAAACTACTCGTGCCCAGTTTTTGGACACAATCTATTTAGATATTCGTTGCACATCCAATATTAAGATCCCATCCATAATTATTTCTACTAAATGGAGTAATAATTAAATAATTCTTGCAATGTTTAGATACTTTCACTTTAAAATAATGTATTATGTATGTATTTCGGTATATTTGATATTGATATCTATATCCAACTAATATGTATACAATCATGAGAATACATAGTTTATGCGTTAACTAGTCGATTTCGTTGAATATAATCCAATCAAAGTCACTCTACTTCTTTAATCACATTGCTTCTACTAACTTAGACTAATTTTGTCATATTTAACACAATTTAGTGCAATAAATCATCACACGTAAATCTACATTAAAAATTAAAAACTCGTTCTCTTCTTTAAAATTTTTTACCTCGGAAAATTAAAAAGAACGAAAAAAAAAACAAATAATATTATTTGTTTGGCTATCATTTTATAACACTTATTAAAGATTCGTTAATCTTTTTTAATAGCATAAAAATTCGTATTATTTATCATTTTAGATTTTTCCTGTTTTAGGTTAAAGTGATGGATGACACACATTACGCACATGCCTGTACAACCTATTAGATGTCTTCATTTTTACATTGCCACTCATTTTTATTCTCATGATATATAGTTGGCTGAGGTGTATTTGTATTGGTACTGTTTTCGTTTAAAACGTTTACGCTGTCCCGTTCACTCTGGTACGATGATGACCTTATACCACAATCTAAAGGCTCATCGTGAGAGTCGTCGTCTTCAATCTTGTTCATGGAGTCGGGGATGTGGTGTTCGAAATGATGCGTTTGAGTGTGTTTAAAATGGTTTTCAGTATCTATATTAATTGTTGGTTGTTTTCCCAAATCTAGCAGATTTGCTGTGGTAGAACTCGTTCCTTTAATGTGTGACTGTAGGGCTAATGGTGTTGAAGCTGCAGCAGCTACTATGGATTGTAGATTACTTAAGTTGTTGGCAATGCTATTATGACGCCGAAAATTTTCTACTGCTAAACGATTTGTACTGAGATTGATGAGGGCATTCATCATTACCTTGTTGCGTTGATAGTCCTTGCGTAAATGTTGACGAATTTCTGTATGACAATGTTCGTTATTTGTAACGATAATCTCTCCAGTATCAGTGGTGGTAACGCGTGCTTTACAATTAAACTTACGAGACAAGTTGCATTGCCAATATTTCTTATCTTTGCGCACATATTGTATGCCAAACGTATGACCATCGTGTACAAGCAATGGTTTACCACGTTGACTCAGCATAAATTCTAATTTGCCCTGAAACCAATGTTCCCCGGGCCCAACTGCAGAAAGTTTAAAAATTGTATTTTTATTAATGTATTTCCTATAAATGATGCAGAACTTATGTATTGTTGTATCAAAGATGATTTATATATAATTATGATATTGGATTTGATGCTAACTTTATAATGACCACAGTATTGAAATAATGAACATGCACACTTAATTTATCTATTAGCCCAATTTTTCATATTATAACATCACAAATGTTTCATTTCATTATACTTACAACCATACAAATATATATAGCACTTGTCAATTGTATCACATGCTTCTTTATTTTCCAATTACATGTATATTTTTTTAACATAATAAGGATCAATTAGGTATTAATAATCATAAAATTAAAGTACTTACCATTTATGTATTGAAGACTTATAATTTGCAAATAAATTCCATTTTCAATTATAGTTAAATTTACAAGCATTATAAATTTGGTTGAAATTTGGTAAACATGAATATAACTGATGACAATACAATTTTAAAATATTTTTAAAAATTTGAAAAAAAAACTTATTATAATTTATTCCAAACTCATTTCTACTATTATATATTTTTACATTGTTGTTTTAATGTTACCGTTTTAGCAACCAAATGTATGCTAAATTATCATAATTGATCAAAACTCTTAAAAGCGCTTTTTTCAGATCTGCGGTCTGTTGAGGAGAGTTTTAAAAATTACTGTGATTTTTAACTTTTGCGGAAATTGATTGAGATTTTTATGGATTGCATAGTATCCAGAACAGTACAAATCATTAGAAGGATATTCTAAAAAAATTAAGAATTTCTTTCCAAATTTCCTGTATAATTGAGATTTTAAATATAAATAATGTATGTTTTATGTATTATTTATATTTAAACCTCAATTATCTTGGTAGTTAAAAAAATCTCGATATTTTAAAATGTGTGATTTTATTAATTTTTGCTTATTTTATATCTCAAAATTTGGACTACCACAAAATGTTTGACTTAGTTAGTTAGTTTGAAAGGAGGATGTACATGCACTAAATTCGAAGAAATACACTAAGGCCTCTATCGGGCCTGTTGTGCGCTCCTCAGGTGGGAATCCCACCCGCCACCTCCGGTCTACCAGACTAGAAGACTTCCATATACATATGTATGTATAAAATAAACATACATAAGAGTACCAACAAGGATTGTCAACTCAGCCACACAACACTTTTCAGGTGTCGCTGCTACAACAACAACCAACAAGAGTGAAAAAGTTATAATTTTATTTTTAAATAACTAAAACTAACTGATGTAAAATTAGTACTTTGATGACAATCCAAAATCGATTGAAAATGTAAAATTGGTTAAACATATTTTACATTATGGGTTGAGAAAAAGTTGTATGGCTATAAAATTTGATCTTACGAAACAAATTATCAAAATTTGTATATTAATAGTACCGACATAATTTAGCGTTATTTTTAAATTTTTTTTTAAAGATTTCAGAAAAGTGAAGAAAATTGAATACAAAGAAAATAATAAACCAACCGAAACAAAGTAAGATGTAGATATATGTATATGTTCTTTCATAAATAATTATTTTAATTTACTTTATATACACAGTAATAAACTTTGTTTAATTTATTAAAATGTTTTTAATAAAAACTGTACATATCATTAAATCTACGTTATCCTGCCGTAGAAAATAGCATCTATCACTTAATTTTACATAGATTCCATTTTAAAATTATGTCCACTTCCTGGAGATATTGTAATAGAATCTATCACTTGTACTTGATGGTGTTCTAACGAAGATATTTTCTTTCCAATTTCATTGTTATGCGGAAGAGATTCAACATGACCACCTTTAACACTACTGTTATGCATTCCATTTGGAGAAAGTGATCCAGCATTGTGTATATGTATATGTTCATCGTTTAAATTATCCTTGTTAAGTGTATCCAAAGGTTTCTTGTTTGGATCGAAAGATGAATTAGAATTTCTGTGGTGTTCATTGGATGGTGAAGATTGCATAGCTGAAGGCATTTCATAATTATGCAAAACATTATGATGTTGTGGCGGGAATGTAGGTTGTTGCGCTATCTGTGTTGCCTGGCTAGTAGGATAATGCTGTACCAAAAGATTAGGCATCGATTGCAAAAATAAATGTGGCGGAGGACCGACGTTGCTATTACTAGTATTACCGGAATGCATATGTGGATTTGAAACAAACGTTGGTGGCAATGGTGGCGCTTGCGATGGTGATGTTGCAGAATGATGATGCTCATGATAAGTTGGTTGGCTCATATTTGCATTAGGGCCACTGTTTTGCGAAAATCGCAAACCATGTGCTCCCGAGCTACTTGGATTTGGTGGTAAGCCAACACCTGAAGTATTTCCGGACTGAGGAGAGGAGCTAGGAGCTGAATTGTTAACGTTGCCAACACCAATATTTGCCGAACTTCCTCCTCCTCCATTGGATCCGGAACTATTGCCATTTCCACGCATATGAGGAGGATGGTTATGAACCCCAGTGGCCGATATTATCTTGCCTTGGTGGGTTATACAACGTGCTCGACACATGCTTATACGATACGCCTTGCACAGCCAATAAGTTTTCATACCTTGCTGAGTTGCCACTGTATTATTTCGATTAAATACACAGTTTCCATGCAATAAAGATGTAGAACTTAGCATCACTACATTTGGACAGTCTGGTCAGTAACATCATTTATTTATAGTAAAGATAAATCCACAAAGAATAAGCATTAGAAAATTTTAATTGTTTACATCGCTTTAATAATTATTGAATATTTTTTGTTATTTACAAAACGAAAAGATAATGCTGTATTCAATATTAAACTTAATTTGTGTCAGTAAATAAAAATAAAAATTAATAAATGTAAAGGAAATAAAAATGGCTAGAAGAAAAAGTGCTTTAACTTTATACAGGTAATTGTTATGTGCTGAGATATAAAGCAATTCGTTGTTTAAAACAAGATAAACATTTACTTTATCGAGAGAGAATATATATTTGTTCTCTTCTATAGTACCGCCATAACTCATAACTCCTAAAATATCACAGTTCTTGTAATTTTTGAAACAAGAATACATATTTAGAAAGTTAAATAATTGAATTCAGTAATTTTTCGGAAAAATAGTTTTTTTTTTTAATTTGATTTAAACATTTTTCCCAAAAATTTTAATATTTTTAAAGTTACATATCGTTAGCTTAGTACGCAAACGTAACAAGTCCTCTTTTGTAAATTTTACGGGAGAAGCAAAGTATTTCATATTTTTAAAATCTGTAAACGTAGTTTCCTTCTTAGATTTCTCCTTTTTTAATATCGGTTGAAAAACAATTTAATACTAATGCTGTTGATTACTTATGGCGGTTTTTTTAGGACTTAGTACGTTTTCTTTTTCTGAATTTTTATTTTTTGTTGGGCTTAGCACAATTTCTTATGACATTTTCCTTACGTACAGTTTCTATTTTGAAGATAATTTTATATAATTTGACACAAATGCTTTTCTTTGGCTCCTCGGAAAAGAGATTAAACAGAAATAAATATGTTGAGTAGCTAGCAATCGTGATCAAATTTGGAGTATGTTATTCTTTTTGTATTCAAAAATTATATAGTAAAGAATGGCGGACATCGGCTTCGTTTGATCCTAGCCCTCATATAAGATCCCCTTCAGAAAATTATTTTAACGCTCATAAGTGTATTATATAACATTTTATGACAACTTTAAAGCACACAACTGGCTTAAAATAGCAGTATATCGATGCATCTCAATATTAACGAGTTTTATAGGAACCAAAAATTTTTACTAACTACTATGAGATTCGGTCCATAATTTACGCTATTCTCAATATCATCCCTCTTAAAGAAAACCAGTTTATTATCAATATTTACTTGTTTTACTTTATTTTAAAAAAGTATTTTATGATTTCTTACTCATTCGAAGATTTTACAAACTACATACTATTTTCTAGACGTTGATGTTCAAAATGTTTGATATTTCTTTTTACATGACTAATTAATACGTTTATAATAGCAAATTGTAAGGACTTAGTACTATTTCTTTGTATATGTTTTGAGGACTTTGCACGTTTGCATATCACAGCAAAAGTGCATGTTTAAGTTATACTACTATTCTGCATAAAAATCTCAATTTCTATAAAAAGTGGACTTGTTACGTTTGCGTACTAAGTTATATACATAAATTTCATGTAGTACGAAATTTAAAGAGCCTTTCAAAGATCTTTCATAAAATACCAAATTTACATAAATATTTTATAAAAATATGGAAAATACAATATACTTTGATTCAGCTCATTAAATATTTAACAATTTAAATTCATCGTAACACCTTTAATGTTTGTTTTCGTTAAATTTCTGTCAAAAATGATTTTCATAAATTAAAAGGAATTGTTTACAAAATAAAAAGTATTTTAAATTAAATAAAAAGCCCAACTGTTTTACATACATATCGTCACCTGAAATGCAAAAAGGTGTAACAACCAAAAATTTTAAAATCGACTTTTTGATTGAAAATGGTCCACCGCATCAAAACACATATTGCTGCAAATTTTTAGAATCCTATTGTCAAAAATACCGACTTTATTGAAGTGAAATTCAAAAGGGCGTAACAACAAATTAGTCATTTCCACAAATAAGAAAGTCCTGAAAAGCAACATAATGGACAATGTCTGACGATAAAGTTATATTCAAACGTGTTTATCGATGTTGGAATACAATACATGTAAGAAAATGTCGTTTTTTATAACACAAATTACATTCATTTTATTTAGTTTTTTGTCTCTCCTGTAAAATTGTTAAAAGTGTTGTTACGCCCTTTTGAATTTCAGGTGACGATATATCCCTAATGAACATTTATGTACATTAAACCATTCGAATCACCTTCGAACCGAAATAGTCCCATCATGGAAACCCGTTTTTCAATGATTATTTCTCTTTTATTTTTAAAGGCATGTAGTAAATCATATCCCCAATATTAAAGTTTTGATACCCATGTATTTTAGTAATGTGATAATGAAAATGAGTTAATAATGAAAATGACAAATAAAAACCAAAACACAGAAGATTTCGTGCATTTGAAACATTTTTTAAAACTGAAAACAGTAGATACTAAGTATGCGTATTTGATAATTAGAGAAAAATAAAAGAGAAAATGAAGTGAAAACTACACAGTTTTTTTTTATCTTTTTAGAATGCACAAACTTACTTGGTGGTATATCCATGTGGTTGGCAAAGCTCTTTGAATACTCATTCGACATATGTAAATCATTTGGATATTCTTGACCGGATTGGGAAGAAACGTTGTTGTTCTTGTAAAAAGTATAGTCTAACCCAAATGCAGCGGAATTAAAAGAATTGCGCAGAGAAGCGGAAGCTGCCGCAACAGCTGCTGCAGATGACACACCTGGGTTTTGGTGATGGTCTGAGTTTTCGCGTTTTATGTTATTTAATTCATACCGTGATTCCACCATAGAAATGTGTGGTAAAAAGAAATCTTCTGTATTCATTTGCTCCATTCCACCAGAAACACTGCCACCATCGGGTCCATCAGTATTTTCGCTACTGTGATCTGTAGAAGTTATAGAACGTCTATGTTTATTGCGAGAATATATCGACAAAGAATCAGTACTATATTCAGAATGCCGTTTAAGACCAGAAGCACTGCTGCTTCCATGACTTGAGGGTTGTTGCTGTGATACATTTGATTCTGTTGATTTGTTAGCTTGATTTGTTGTGGCTGAATTTAAAGAGCTGTTGTTCAAGGGTGATGCTGCTGGTGATAACAGAGGTGATTGTGATCTTTGTGGTGTATTCGGATGGCTATGGCTATCAGATGGCTTTTCGCCCCCGATATTAGAATTTTCTCCAGTGCTTGCGGTTTCGATCGCGGATGGCAATAATGGTTTCGATGTGAAAGAAGTTTCATCATTCATAACATTATTTTCATTCTTGTTCGATGACTTCTCTGAACTCGTTGACGCTGCTGATGATGAGGAATTTGTGGCAAGTCCCTTAATTTGTAATAGTTGCCCAATTTTCATAAAAGATTGCAATTCAGTGTGTTTAACATTCACAACGCCTTGATACATAAATTCTAAGAGTTCGCACATTATATTATACGACACATCTTTCAAAATAACTGAAATTAAAAGAAAAAACGTTATAGTTTTTTTTTTGTATATAGTTTATATAGTTATAAAAAACTACTGGGTTTTAATTAGGTTGCCGGTGCATCAAGCACTCATATTGCCAGGTTATCACACGTTTGTCCGGAGAAACCCCACCAGACGACCTATACCTTCATATAGGAAGTTGGATCACCGAACTTAATTTTATCAAAAGTGTTATTGGTCTCCACCAGAAATAAGTTTTAGAGTTTTAATGGTCTCCACCAGTATATGTTTGAGTTTAATTATGTTTAATTTTATGGTCTGCACCAGTTAAAAACATTACCTCACTCTGAGGTAAAACGAAAGCACGCGTTTAATGAAGACAACGCATAACTTAGAAACAGTTATACTGTTTCTAAAGCACGGCAATAAGCACAAGCCTGACCGAAATTAAGAAATAAAAACGATGACGCGAGAGTTGTTCCCCAACTAAGACCTGAATTACAACTAAACAATAATTACATTTTTTGAAAAAGTATAAACATTAGACCGACCCACAAAAAATAGTGCTTCCGTTACCCCCCTCAAGATATTCGCTGTTATGTAATATGATGTTACCCAAAATATTTTGGGTTTCATGTTGTCAATTTTCAAGAAAATATCGTATGGGGGACACGATTTTTCATGTTCAATTCAATATTTTACCCAGCTTCAAAAAATCTTTGTTTTGTTTTATGATGATTCCCAAAATATTTCTTGTCTATCGATGTCCGTTCGTGAGCTGGACCGGAACAAAAAAAAGTCCCTTTTTAGTTTTTTTTTAATTTTACTGTTTTTTCTTAAACAAAATATACAATATGTGGTTTTTTTAAGGTTTTTTGAAGCCTAGGGTGCGCAAAATTTGCAAAATTGTGCATACATTTTATTTTTATTAGTGAAAAACCTAACAATTTTAAATATTTTGGAATATAACAATTATAAGCAGACGGTTATCTATGATTAATACATCATTGGACGCAGCTTTAAAACCCCTTTGAAACGATACCCCATATTGAATATTTTGCTTCAAAACAAAACTAAAATTTGAAAAAAATAATTCCAAAATACCTTTTTTTAATTTGGTCCAGCTCACGAACGGTCATTGGCTTCAAAACAAAACTAAAATTTGAAAATAATAATTCCAAAATACCTTTTTTTAATTTGATCCAGCTCACGAACGGTCATCGCTAGACTTAAAATATTTTGGGAATCATCATAAAACAAAGCAAGGTAAATTTTAAGAGGGGTAACAAAAACACGTGTTTGCTTTCCATACAGAGTGAGTCGGTCTAATCTAATCTAACTTTAACTCTCTCTCAGTTCAATTCAAATTTTAAAAAATTAAATGATCTAAATTAGAACTCAGTGTTATGGAATATTAATATTAGTATTACTTTATAAAATAGTATTAGACCATACTAATCATCAATTTCTTAAAAATTAGACAATATCTTTATTTATCAATATTTAAGTTTTTGTAAAATACACTGCAAAAATTATTAGGGAATTCCAGCAAAAAAATAAAAAAATATGGGGCCAAATTTCGACACCAGAGCAGCAAAAATTTTAACGAACTATTACATGTCGAAGGACCGAATTCAGCTAGTACCTAATACATTAAATTATATAAAATCTCAATTGCAGTTTTTTTAGTTTTCAATTGTTAAATGTGATGAAATAACTGAACAAACATTAGTTGTTAAATATCTATTCATAAAAAATATATATTTTTTTAACGCAAGTTAACATTAACATTTTCCATAAAGAAGAATTGTTCTAAACATCAATATTTGACCATGATACGTCTATCTTGCCATCATTTACATATGGGCAATTCCATACGCTTGTATGTGACATTCGCACGCCTTCAGAGTGGTATAGATTTTGTAAAATTAGGAGTACTTGGAAAACAATTTTGTCATTCTGTTCCATTTAAAGAATATTATATTTGCAAAAGGAATCATCCCATTCGGAACCTTGTTTTCCAAAATATGGATTAAAATATGGCGATATTATACGTGACAAAAAACAGAAATGTTTGTAAAGTACATGGAAATATTTATGAAAATCTGCGAATTCTGTAGGTGTATCTTTTTTGTTTTATTTTCTCACACTATGGGAGATATTTTTCATTAGTAATCCATAATTTTTAAAAAAAAAATAATATAATTTTATAATGAACATTTTAAATATCGTACGTGACAGATTTTTCTCCTGATTTTTTTTAGGTTATAAAATATATATTTTGGAAATATATGCATACACACACTTCAACAAATCAAAAGGAGTAGGAAAGTGCAGTCGGACATGGCCGAACTATACACATGTTTAAGCAATTTATAGATAAAAATAAAAAATTGAAGTTATATGGCGACTAGGGTCAAATATGGACCGATCCTCATAAAGTTCTAGGGTGTGATTTTAATTCATATAAAACTTATTTGTGCCAAATTTTATCATAATACTAGTGATTAGAGGCGATTTACGGACGTTTAAGTGTTTTTCTGAAATTAAACTTTAAATGGAACTAGGGTCAAATGAGGTCCAATCGTTATGAAAATTGGCATAAAGGTTTAGGCTTATAAACATTTTAGATCTGCCGATTTTTGAAGGGATAGTATTATAATTAACAGAATTATGAGCTAAAAAGTGATATTTTCGGGTCCGTTTGTATGGCGAAGAGGTGTAAAAATAGACCAATTTCAAAAATTTTCAACAGTCTTCGTCTTTGGTGCTACAAAAGATCATATTTTGTTGAATTATCTTCAAAAATGCAGAAGTTATAAGGTTTTTATTTTTCCAGTCGTGGTTTACCTTTTCATGGAATTGCCCATATATCAGTTTTCGATTTGTGCGCTCTAAAATATCATAATAAGGATTTTCATTTAAACGTTCAAAAGCTTCGCAAACTGTGCAAGTTGTGCATTTTCAACTTTCCATTGATATATTTAAATGGCAAGCTTACACTAAGTTTTATCTTTCAAATATTACAGTTACCTATTTGTGAAAATGTACAATTTTGCACAGGTGTTTTATAATAATTTTTTAATATTTAAGAGTGTAAAATATTGTTGATCTTATCAGTTCATTTCTAAAAACTAAAAAAATATTGTTCTTTATAACTGTTATCACCAGGTCCAAAATTTTTTTAGAATCATCATTAAATAATTGAAAATTTATTGGAAAAAATAGATCATTTTTCAGGGAATCGATCTACCCTGAAAAATTTTCTATTTTTCTCAATAAATTTTCATTTGTTTTATGATGATTCCAAAAATATTTTGAACCTTTTGGTGTACACATACAGAATATGTAAGGATATTAGATTTCGTCAAACTTTTACAGAAGAAAAATGTATTTCTTAACACTTTACTTCACAATATTTCATTTAAATCTGATATATTGATGATATTTCATGCATTTGTGTTTTGTATGTGTTTTTATATTTAAATAATTATGATAATGCGGCTGACGTTATTAAAAAAAAGAGGTCAGCCTTATTCATATAAGATGTTATCGCTTAGTAATAACAAGTACAAATACTAAATCAATACATAAAATTATTTACGATAAGACACAAAAATGAAATCTTAAAAACAATTTAATGACAACCAAGCAGCAGTTGAACAGCATCAACATCTACTTAAAAACAATATTATCTCTTGTTCTCAATCACATCACATTTTTAACACGAACTTATTAAACAGAATTGAAAAACAAACGGAAGGGAATACAAATTATCAAATAGATGAACGAACGATCAACAATACGAATGAAACGATGATGATATACATATGTATGTAGATTTGTAAATTAACTCGACAACCAAAATATTATCTCTGCGTAAACTTTTTTTATAATATTTCTATCTTTAGTTCATAAGTATCTATGTATGTATGTATGTATGTATGTATGTATGTATGTATTTACCATTTAAATGTATAAGTTTTCGATTTAAGGGTTTGTGATAATTTTAGATAATGTTGGTTTACATTATCAAACAATAGTTAGTTATAAATATCGTAAAATTCTATTTAATTATATTTTGGTTCATATTATCACCATATTTTGATATTCATTAAAATGTATTTTTCACAGAACCCATTAACATTTTTTTTAATAAAATATAAAAACGCTTTTCTACGCTATATATTTATTTTATTTATTTTCTTGGTTATTTCAAGATAAACTCTGTCTAAAGTTCATTGAAATCGTGATAAATCCTCATCATAGCTCATCTTCGATTATCACTGTTAGTGTCTCGAATGTTCATATTATTATCTGTAGTAAATGCGAGTAAAGTACATAAATGTATATGATACACAAAAATAAAATTGGAGCAAATTTGTGCTGCTATACACTTTTATTTGTTATTAAAAATTATAAATAAAATAAAAATCATATAGAATTATACGACCACATATAATTACGTACATATGTACATTTTTGAGGCTATGCTCTCGTACTCGTAGTTTAAATATGTAAAATAAATTTCAAATCAAAATATGTATCAGTATTACTAAAATTAAAACGTTGTACAAGGTTTCACGATTTTATTGTGTATAAAGGTTTTTGATTTAAAACACGCCTCAATATATTATGTTTGACCAATTGGAAACAAGTTATATTTCTTAAAAAGTATTATATTACGGCTATGATAAATGTTTATCGAATCGAAATAGTTCTTATTTATAAACGAAAACGATTTTTGACAATCGTAAGTGTTATCTATAAAACAAACGTACGTATATATAATAAACCACCTGATAAAAAATATCGGAAATCTACAGTGAACTGTAAAAAAGCATGTATCAATAACATTTTAAATATTTCAATTAAATATAAATGAACAAGTATAGAATAGTACTCAATAAAGCTAAAACGTGTATATATCTGGACATTGCAGATGCTATGACAGTTAGGACTCATGAGCCTTTGTTAGTGAAGCCTTTGCGAGACAAATAAACAACAATTCTGTACGAAGTAGGAT